AGAAGGAAGTATATTTTGTAACGAATAAAAAAAGACGAAAAAAAGTGGAAACTTATTCACGTGGTCCAAAACACACACGCGCACGCGCGCACATACATACGGACACGCATACGTATGTACACGCGTGCACACGTACACATACACACGTAAACGAGCGACTTGAAAAAATTATTGCGGTTCAACGAAAATACGTATCGAGCGAGTAGGATGTGTGATGATTCTCTGCCTCGTGCTGAACGGAAGGAAGAAAAAGACTAAAAACAGACTACGGGGCGTTGTACAAGTCGATAATAATTTATCACTCAGTCCAATTGTAAGATTTATTTAGCGGTTAAGGTTGGATTAAGAATTCCCTGTTGAATACAGGGTGTTCCGGCAACGGTGGTACAACCGTGCAATGAATTGGGCATGAACAAATACGTCGAAAGTGCCGATCAAAATCTTTTTATAAGAGGCACCGTTTTCAAGAAAATCGAGCTTGAAAGTGCATCATGATAACGCGTAATATCTTGAAGACGTGGCTTCATAGAAATGTATTTTATTTTTACACTTTCGACTCATCGTTTCACAAAGAATCATCCACTGCTCGGTTGTACTACCATTAGCCAGAATATTCTGTATATTAAGTTACGTCGGTGTAGCCAGCACGAGCTACCATCTTGTTCGCTTGTAGAGACAGATATCAGCGATTTCTGTTCAACGAATCTAACACGCCAAGCGATCAAGCGCGTAACGATGTTCCCTCTCCGCGTCGGAGACCACGAAGAATTGAACAACTTCGCACACAGGCCAGCATTAGTTTGTTTCCTAATTTGTTTTTAATTTACTCGCGTGCACCACTATTTCTGTACGCGTTTCCTTTTCCCGACCCGACCCCTGCACCCTCTTCCTACCCTTGAACCTGAAGGTACAAAATAGTACTTTCCACCTTCTTCTCAACTTCGTATATCGAATAAAATAGATTTAAGCGGTCAAGCGCAGTGTATATGTTTATATGGACATTGTAAATAAGGTATACGGGCTCGTCGTGAGTAGATATTATCGTTGGGATAGAATTCGTGCAGATTCTATCCGACACGCACCCCGGGATTCACACATACAAAATAAAACACGCTCATTCGCATCAGCGCAATACACGACTCGACGGAGATGGACGGAACTCTCGTCGAGGTAACAAATTTCAAATAACCGACTCGAATAACTCGTATAATGCAAGATAAACCGCTGTTCGTTCATCATTTGCTCGATAAAAATTACAATTTGGATTGTATAATCGTATTACGTTCTCACGTTGAACCCTTTATAGTAGCTTATCCGGATTAAGCGTTTAGTCGAATAGATATCGCTATTAGCTTTCATTCGTATCGTTTATTATTTGACCGAGATTACGTCCATCTCTGCACGACATACATACAGACACACAGTCGTACATCGTTCTCAGTTGTAAATGCAAGACTCGTTTTTAATTTATGTGAAGAAAAAAAGCTGTATTTATTATGTGAAACATTCCACAGCAAACGGCGATCGGTCCGATCGCAACCGATTCTTTTGTGGGATTTTACTGCAATTTTAGATTAACTAATAGCGCTAAAGAAAGAGGAACAACAAATGTAAATAAAAGCTTTTTTGCGAAACACTTTACATGTTTATCCTAATTTTTCATATGGCACCGATTTCGTGCAATGGCTGCCCATCCAGGACATGTAATAGTATATGTCACACTGTGTCATTCGAGTCCTGACGAAGCCGACTGCAATGCTGGCGAGACGCCTGCTTTCATTCATGAAGAACCAGGTTGTAAGAGCTTCAAACATCTTGATCGTAGACGTTGCACGAGATTTGTTTAATTTTCAGCGACGAGGACCACTCGAGAACTACCGTGTAAGAGGAGGAGCAATTCTTGCACCGTTTTCTCAGCCGAGTATTTCGCGTTATTATTACGTCCAAATCGAATCTGCGTTGCGCAGTACAAACAGTACTCTGCGAACATAAACTTAATTTTCTTAATTCCAGGAGAAATTAACTCCGCTGTCGTGACCTGATTATAAATCAAACGGTGGTACATCCAACGAAGCACGCCACGATCGCGAGCGTTTTTATTTACTTGGTACTTGTTTAATTCGTAATGTCAATTAGGAGAAACGGAAGAAAGGAAGATATTCGTTAGATGGTTGTCCTCCGTTGCAACGTAACAGAAGCAATCTTGTATAGAAGTCGCGCGTATGTCGAGAATAATGTAAATAAAAAATAATATTTAATAAAACTTATACGTTCAATCCTCTTTGTTTCGAGTACAATGGAGTTTCGCAGTACGTGTTTAGCAAAAATTCGCAGAATCGACTGAAACGAATTCGTTCGTGCCGAAATGATACAAGTTTTTACTGTTTGTAGTGATATCAGAGAGTAGAAAATGCAATTGAAGTAACGGCAAACGAAAGAAGAATAGCAAACAAGTATGGCGAATCTGATGAAAACATCTGGGAATCACTTCTGAAGGCGACAGTTTCATTTTCACCGCTAATCACGCTGACATCTCGTCATATTCGAGATCGATAACGTTGTAATTGTCGCTAAATTACATAAAATGTTCTTAAAAATTAAACATTACACATCCATGTGTGATTATTGCAAATTCATTGTTGCTCGCTCGATTCATGGACACAGCGACGCTATAACCATCTAGCGGCGAACAGCTCGAACTAATTTTTCAATGACATGTCTCTTTACATTTATTAAACCCCCGTAATATCTAATATTCCTCATGATTAACTTAAAATAAAATTAAATTAAAGCGGCGCACCCTCAGGGGTTGTACCTACATATGTTTAAATGTAGCTACAGTACGGGCTTAGCGATCCCGAGGTACCCGAGCTAGACGGGGGGCAAGTGGGCCCCAACTACATATATACAAACGAATGTAAGAGATACTGTAAACAGTATTAAAACTATGGAGCAACGAAAAGAATAATAGCGATGCATAATACTGTAACAAAGGTATAATTAAAAAGAAAATGTCAGTGTAATAACTATGGCTGTATAGTTGAAACACGAAATAAATACCGATACTAGTTCCAACTTCTGACGCCAGATGGCGAAAGCTTTTTAGTTAGTGGCGCCATCGGTGATAAAACGCCCAAGTTTGTAGTGAAACTAGTTCCAACTCCTGACGCTAGATGGCGCAATTGTAGTTAGTAGCGTCACCTAGAAACAACAGTGGGAACTATTTCGACTACAAACTTGGGCATTTTCCCACCGATGCCGCCACTGGTACTGTTTTGGAGCCTTGGCAAGTGCAGGGATCTGCACACGTATACCCAAGTCAATTTTAATATCACAATACCGAATTCATTATTATTATTAAATAAGTTATCCACGCGATTATGTAGGGCGTGCAAATCCAGGATGTGCACTCACCTTTTATGTATTTTTTTCTGTTTTTAACTATGTATAATTTAAAGAGATAGTTCAAGTAATTGTTATCCAGATTTATAGTCATTCAAATAATACAAAATTAGTATCACCTTCCACCTAAAAAATTTTGGACACCACCCTTTCCCGTCTTAATTAAAGACTTCCTGTACGATAATCACAAAATAATTGTTTAATTAAAAAACGCTATATCAAGTATTTTCAACGTGGAATTTTAACGATATATTGAGTATTATCCAAATTCTTAAATTCTCTAGAAAATCATCTATTCGAATATTCGTCAAAGTTCGTTAGATACTCGAACAGCATATTCGATGCAAATGCGCAGTTCCTACTTATATTTGAACTTGCATCTGAAAATACACTGGGTAATACGGATCGTGCCACGTAAGGGGGAAATCAGAAAATCCCACTTCCCCTATACCTTCGCAACATACTTCTGGTTGCCGCGTTTATGTCAGCTATTTACTACCCAATGCCTAGATTACACATATTAAAATTTATTCTCGAAACATAACGATACATGGTATTTCAACTTTAATTATGTATCATCGCTGTCTCATATACATCATCGTATCGACAATTCTTTTGTCCAAAAACAAACGATCAATTTACGTCAACATACGTTGCCCACTTTGGTTATTCCTATGTCTAAATTTAAGAATACTTAGAATAGGGTACATGAACAAAGAAACTTAAGATGCATCCAGGTGTATCCGTGCTAGGGTTAGGTCTAAGTTACGTTATTTATTTAAATAATTTGTATACAGAAGTTTATTAAATACTAAAGAAATACTACTCGATGATTTCATTAATTTAGAATTTGACTATGAAGGTGAAAGCTCCAACAAAATTGTTCCAAATAGGGTTCTGCAGCTTCTAAGCACGGCACTATTTCAGGTACTCTTCGGAGGATACATTGTCGGATCTTCGCGAACGTATGCATACATCTCCGTCACTTTTTATCAGTCTGCTAACACCATCTGGCGTGATAATTACCAACTAAAAGTGTGCGAGGCGGAATGGGATATGTTTAGCGCGGCTATGTCCCCTGAAACGAAGCAAATTACTCCGTTCGAGTACAACAATGTATATAATCAATATTTCGCGTATTTCTTAAATAATAATCCATCGATTGTACGAATAACCTATCATAAAGTAACTCATTCTCGAGCCGTCGCGATCATCACCCTTCGTGATTGGGCCTGCATAATTTACAACTCTACCAAATTAACAAGTTGACGTATTGTAAATGAACCTTAACGGCAGTTACTTCAAATAATTCACTTTCAAAATATGCACATTTAACTCCACGAGATCTCATTTCTTTCATCGATAAATGTATTTAATTTCGTTGCCATTTTCATTCGCGAACGCTACAGCATCTTATCATCTCCGACTATCTGCAAAATAAGAAATCGAATCGTACGACCACTAGCTCTTTCGATAAACGAACCAATGAACTTTAACAAATATTTTTGAAACGACAAAAATATAATTCCCACAGAACACGAGCCGTAATAAGGCTAGCGATTTTTAAAATTCAAGCAGCGATGTGAAAGGTTTCGGTAGTTCCTGAATCACCGGAAACGTGCTTTGGTTCGTTTGCCGCCAAAGCTAGCTGTGTGCAGCGATGAAATTGTTTATCCTTTGATTTGGGATCCCTGGTCGCTTATCGGATCGATTTAGAAACTGGATTTGAAAAGTACGATACGTGGAACGATTCTTCCAAGTTGCGATTCGCGTGTTTCGGTGAAATTTATCATTTAACGAAGTGAACGATGGCCAAAGTTCAGCTGGCAAACGTAGCCGTACTAGACAATCCCTCACCGTTTCTAAATCCGTTTCAGTTCGAAGTCACTTTCGAGTGTATCGAAGAACTAAAAGAAGGTAATTTCCTTAATCCATAATATCGCCGAATACAACCGAATATTTCTGTTAACATTATCCAAGCGTGAGCCATTTGCAAATCTTCTTAACGACTTGCTAGGTTAGTTTTAACGTTGTAGTAGTTTCCCAAGGACGAATCTGTTTTTTTTTTAACAATCCCATTGTTAAGACGAGTCTTGATACGAACACGTTCAAATCATTCTTTTTACTGAATCGGTATTTTTAATTGTTGCGTCACCGAGACAATGCTATTGCAGATTTAGAATGGAAGATGATCTACGTCGGCAGTGCCGAATCCGAAGATTTCGACCAAGTTTTAGATACAATTTACGTTGGTCCAATCCCTGAAGGAAGACACATGTTTATATTTCAGGTAGATACAATGTATACCTAAATAACAAATTTATACAAAGTAAAATAAACCACAAAAATATTATCAGTAATTTCAATTAAAATCCAAGAGCTTGCCTCAAAGCTTTTTACAATGAATTATTTAATTTTAGGCTGACCCTCCAGACGTTAGTAGAATACCAGTCAATGATGCTTTAGGAGTTACAGTTGTCCTGTTAACTTGTTCGTACAGAGGGCACGAATTTGTGCGCGTCGGATACTTTATAAATAATGAATATACAGATGCAGAGCTCAGAGAAAATCCACCACCTCAACCGCAATTTGACAAAGTGCAAAGAAATATCTTAGGGGACAAACCACGTGTTACTAGATTCAAAATAAATTGGGATGACGGTGCAAGTTCAACAACAAACAATGTCCCGGATGGCATGGATGCACAGTCCTTGGAAGAAACATCGCAGGACGCACCTACATCCACATTGGGTTTTACAGAGAGTACACACAATAGTATGGAAGTGATGTGAATAACAGTATAACGAGAGTAATAAGCGAGCTAGTGCAGACCATAATTGGAAGAACGAAGTAGTACCTGGAAACAAAATTGACAAGGATGCATATAATTGGATAACACGAAGGAGAAATGTTGAAAAAAAAAAATAATAGCCTTTTGTACAGTATATGTTAATAGATTTCCTTTAAAATGGATCCATGAGTTGCAAATTAGCGACATGTTGGTCGATGTAACAGTTTAAAATTTGTATGCGAATGAAGTTGTTTATTACTATGTGTGTATGCATAATTACTAGCGATGGAAAACGACCATGAATAATTTATTATGCATCATTACAAAAGTAATTCGTCTGAATGCAAAGGTGTGAATATCCTGAGACAAATAAATTCTAAGCTAAATTAAACGGATCGTCGGTTGAGAAATTTATAACGGCAAATTAGTATGTGCTCTAGATTAAAGATTTTTGATTCCAGGTTATGATTAAAGGAAAAGAAACATTTTCAGAGTTATCTCTTAATAGTTGTAATTGTATTACAATGTTCTAGGAACGTTTGGAGTTTTGTGTTTAATATCTTAAGTATTATAGTATGGCTTATGATTGTATCGTAAATTATTAGTCTTAAGGATGTTTCCATTTATCCTTGTATGTACATATATACTAAAACAAGAAATACACATTATGTTTTTTACTTCATTAAATTTTGCCTCTGGACATCTTTACCTTTCACAATTCTGTAAATATACAATAAAACATGAGTATTAGTATGTGTTGTGTAAAGCACGATATTTTACAATATCAGATTTTGTCAGTCCCATCAAACGAACTTTTCTAAACATATATTGATCGACGTATTCTTAATTATAAATAATATCCTTATCTTCGGTTGATACGATATTCGAAGGTAATACATATTTATCATAATTAGACTTGGAATGTTTATACATTTATAGCATGTCGGAATACGGGAAAATGTACGAGGATAATACACGACCCCAAAAAATATATAAAATAATGTACATGCTGCACTGTTCAGAAGATAAGACATAAATTTCTTTAAATTTCAAATTATTATTTGTATCTGTGAAAACATGAATTCGTATAATACGTGCCCAGTTTAGTCATAACGATAACGCGGATATACGTCGTTTCGCAAATGTTGAAGTTAAATTTAATTCCAATTCGAACATGGAGCCCCATATCGATTTTTTACAGATATTCTCCGTCCCGCCAAGATTTCAAGCTTTGTGCGTTAACCCTTCCCCCAGTTCCAGACTACTTCAGCGCAAGTTGTTCCATTGTTTGGGAGAAACGAAGGCCCGCAATAATACGAGTACACCACTGCCGCCACCCCCACCACCTAACCTGTCGCGAGCAAGTCTGAGCATGTTTAGTGGATTCAGTCGGTCTCGGCCATTAGCAACAGCGTTAGAACGCAGGTGGATTCCGAAGGAAGCAAGTGTCTTCACGTGCGAATGAACGTGTCAGAAGACGTATCAACATTACGCGTATGCGATCACAACCATAATCACACTTGGCACCCAGTTTTCTACATTTACAACACGACTCTCAATGGTAAGTACACAAAATTTTGCAATACATAACAAAAAACTTCAGTTTTCGCTTCGCGCTTGACAATTACTCAGTTACGAGACGTCAAAGAATTTCGTTCAAATCGTAAACGTGAATTTTCGTTTAAATAGAACAACGGTAACTTTCTTCTCTCAAAGAAATTCGCTAGCGAAATAGCATCGAACTTGAGAGATTCGCGGGGCCGTGAGTGCGATTACATACTGACATGTGTATAGTACCAACAACGTGTACTTGAATTTTAACATACATTCGACACGATCGAGATATTTTATATTTCATTCTATTCGTATTACTGTTGTACCATCTTTCGATTAATTTCATCTTTTCTCTCACGTTTTCTTTCAATTTCGCGAAAAACTTTTCTGTAATCTCCTCCAGTGATTTCATCACCTTTTATAGAAATCTGTTTCGAAAGAGTTCGCCAAAAAGTTAACGCGATAAATTTGGTTCAAATATTTGTTCGATGGAATTCGTGAAAGCAACGACCTGCCGCCGTGGGTATGAGTCATCACGTGTGTGCTGTTCTTTTTTCTTTTTTTTTTTTTTAATTTTTCTCGGATTAATAGTTGCACGCGAAAAAATAACGGGATAACGTAACGTGTTGGGATAATGCAACGCGCAGTATTTGGTCCAAATCGCACCAAGGTCTTGCTGTTAGAACCGGAATACGTGCTCCGCAATTCTCGGTACCGCATCGAGAGCGTAGCGATGACTCGACGGCCACCGATTTTTTTCTTTTTCGCCCGGGAATCTCCGCAGCCATCATAGGAACGAGATATAAAGGAACAGGGCCAATTGTCACATCGTCTTTCCAAATGTCTACTTACCTTCCATTTCTATCGCCTAACATTTATTTTCTTCATAAAATATTGTAAATTTCAGCGAAGCGAATAATAAATAAATCTGACGGTATCGCGTGACAGATAAGAGTGCGCGTGTTTCTATTGTCTCGTGCACGGTATATTTTGACCACAAATTTTTATCTATAATACTAACGAAAGGTCCGGGTACATATTGATAAATATTGCTTTGTAAATAGACTGCGGATTTTTGTGCATTTATAGGAAATTCATATGTGCAAGAATATAAAAAAGAAAATATTGAAAGTGAAGTGTATATTGCAATATTTACGGAGAGAAATTAATTCATGTTTATAGTTATAAACGAAATATGACCGCTGGACAAATCGACATTGGGCGACCGATAAAAAGAGTTCACGTGTATTGTTGTTCTGTTTACGTCTAATTTTAACGCGTTCGGGTCGCTATCGGTAAATATCATTACACGCAGAAATTAGTTTATTCTTTTTGTATCGAGCTCGTAGCTTTCGATATTTACCGACTACGAAGACTTTATTATTATTGTTAATTGTTTCGATATCGAGAGAGATATATCTAAGTAAACAATAAAAGAATATTCCGTTGCAAATTGTATGCATTTCGGAAAATGATAAGCGCTTTTGAATACATCGATATTAATCGATTGCGCAGTTCGCAAGCTCTTGTTTATCGCGGTTGAAGTAGGTGGTTAGCGAGCCCGTTTTCGTCAGATTAGAATCAGCATCTTCTAAGCGGCAGGGTGAACGTTCGTATTTTAAAATGGCGGCCGTCTATCTCGAACAAAATGACTGCCGCGCTCTGGGTTAAATTTGCAGAATCACCCTTTTGTAATTTCGCTATCTAAGCGAAATACTTCACCGAAATTATTATTTATGGATACTTTCGATAAAAATTAGTTTCATATAAACTAAATTAGTTTCATTTTTCGATGTATAAATTAGTTTCATATAAACTCGCTTTTCGATGTATTTACGATTGTTAAATTGTTGAAAAAGTACGGAAACGAAATTTTGTTTAAAATTTGGGAACAGTTTTACATCTAATACGTCTGCTTTATGTACAGAACAAAATTATTATTAGTCTTTGAGATTCAAATCAAAACTGCTCTGCATCCAGAGGTGGGTAATATTTGTAGAAAAAATATTTTAAATACTATTTTAAATAATAGATCCTTCAGAATTCAAATAAAATAGCATTTCAAATGCATGATCCGAAATAAAATATTTATTTACTGTTTATTATTTAAAATACGCATTTTACCGAGCTCTGTCTGCGTCCCACTGTTTTACCGTTCGAGTAAACCCCGATGTAGTCGGACGACGTGCCTTTTTTTAAAATCCTAAATCTTATTGAAAATGGTTCATTTTCATAATTTAGCAATTCCATTACTCCGCGCTACACGCTATGCTAATAAAATAACAAGTTCCGACCATAGATAAATTAAATCATGTTTAGTATATTCGTTCGAAAATATATTCGAAGTGGAAAATAATTATTTTTGCAGACTATGACAGAGGAAGAACAATATTGTCATGACGACAATGACTGTTCCTCGGAACAGTATTGTTACGATATATCTGGACGATGCGTTGAGTATACCCAATGCAGCAGGTATAACAGACGAGAAAACGAAAAACGATCCCGTCATCCTTCTCAATGCGGAGAATGTTTACCTGGGTAATTATATTATTTATAATTACATTGTAAATACATTTTGTAAACACATTTTATCATCGATCTATTGTTGTAGTTACGCCGCAGAAGAACTGGGTACAGGAGAAATGGCATTGCTATGCAGAAAAACAGGCCTCCACAAAACTGAGTCTGGTAAGAAAACTAAATCAATTGCACTTATAGTATTGCACTTATCTGTATATTTATTATCCATTTTGTTTTATCCAGAACCTGCCAATGTAAGCAACGATGTGACCATCTATACACTGGTGGGAGTGTCCTTCCTCTGTTTAGTTCTGCTCGTTACATTTCTCTTAAGAAGACGTATGTACAAATATTACACATTTATCCAAGATTATATAAATTTATAATTCAATGTATAACATAGATAAAATATGTACATTTCAGGATATTCAAAGCGTCGAGACATTCGCACAGAAGAATGCAGCGATCTATGCGTGGTGAAACCAACTGCCCCGCCAATGGAAAGCAGTGAGTATTAACAATTATTTTTGTAAATGTTACTCACTCTTAAGACACGCAATTCACAGAACTTAATGCGGCACTTCTATTTTCAAAAATGCACAAAACTTAGCGATCGCATTTGTCGTTACATTAAAGCTTAGTATCTTTTCGAAGGCGTATTTCTTTTTGAAATGCTGTATTTAATGGGTTGTTTTTCATCCAACGAATACAAGCACCGTAGCTTGCTTCTCTGACTTGATTGCTCACTTTTTAACATCTTCTTGTATACGGTAAAGCCCCGATTTAACTATCCTTTTATGTCCTATGTTGCTACACCCTCAAGTATAACGATTGGTTAATCACAAAAAAAAAAAGGGATAACATCAGACAATCGTGTTTAATAGATGCCCCTTCCTTTCCACTATCTATTCCGCTAAATCGAGGTTTTACTATAAAATTACTAACCGTGAATGAAAACGGTTAATTTGTTTTACGAAGACGATGATTATTTCGTTACAGTATACTATACCTACCTACTTGAACGTTGAATTAACTGTGAGCTGTTCAGCACGCGGTAATAATTTGTATCGAACTATGTATATTACATTGACAGCGCTAACTAAATGCTTGACATGTTTCTTTATATATCGATAAATTTTACAGAGCCATTCATAAGCTGCGGAGAGGGAATAGTAATTAATAATAATAAACATCTAAAAGACAAGAACAGACTAGTGTGTGCTGGTGCTTTTAAAGCTCCGAGCTGGGTTCGTCCCAATCCAAATTGCGAAAGCAACTCGCATTCTGGTGACGTAAGCGCAATGGACCAAATGCACACCAGCGTAGAATTACCACCAGCTGATGATAACGCCAATATGTGGGTTCCTCGGTAAGTAAATGTTTAATACATCGATTCATTTGATACATTTGTGTTAATATCGGGTAAATATTTTCATGCTGATTATATAATTTTGTTTTTGCAGGCAATTACCACTCACAATAGTAAATGGCAACATAGCGCAATTGGAACAAGTGAATAATAATGTTGATACAATTCGGAGAAACAACCCTTCCTCATCGAACGCAGGCGAAGAAGGCACCAGTAATAGTAGCAATGATTCGGCATCCGAATCAAATAATGGTAGAGATGGTAGAGAACATAACCAGGGCTCAAATATTTTGATCACTCAAACGATGTCGATGAACGTGAACGTTCTCAATTGCGATTATTGATATCGAAGGATAAAAATGTCATAATTTAAAGTTAAATCACGCAAGTGCCTAATTCGAAGGAAGATTCACCGAGCTTATGTGGTAAAAAATTTTGACATATCGAATACCATAGTATTTAAAGACAGTAGAAAGGAAAAAACATAACATGTAGGTTGTCAGCTTAAAAAGATCTAGTCAACAAATATTATTAAGAGAATTGACCACTGAAAGTTTTATGTACTAACTTCCTTACAATGTATAATAATTTCTTCCTATTTAACTTTGTTCATTTCTACTTTTTTTTTTGCAGTTTCAATGTTAACGATGTGCCATTTTTTAAAAGACAATATTAAAATTCGTGATTTGACGAAAAGACATAACTTGAAGCAGGAACACACGCATTATTACGACATTAATTATAACATGACGTTAATGTATGGTTAAAGGAGTTCCATATATTTTAAGTATAAAATAATATCGTTATTATTAGGATGCTTTTTAAGAATTATTGCGACAGTTGATAATTTTGAGATCACAAATATGAAGTGCTCAATAGTTTGCAACAACGAAATATTTGCGAACTTTAGGCGGAAATGTGATACGTATATAAATAAATTTTTGTTAGTTCTCAAATATTTATAATATCATAGATTATACAATGTCACAATATTCGAGTATTGCAAGATAAGATAGATAACTGTATTATCTATTTTACTTTCAATACATTTGTTTATTATTGTTCGATACATTTAAACAGTGCATTATGTACATCTAGAATTAGCAAATGTTACTCATTATTTATTTATAAGGTTTTACACAACTACGTATATTATGTCAACATATCTTCATCAATCTATAGCATTGTAATCCATTATGTTTCATATTTATACATCACTACATTTTACAAACTCTTATGTATATCGCAAATGAATATCACTTTTATACGGTCTATCTCTTACAATACTGCCATAAATACCATATAATATGAATCCTATAATAAAGAAAATATACTTTGCTGAAAGAATTTGTGTTTATCCCTACTATTTTTGCCTACGCGCTGGCAACTCAACCGACCAGCATGTGTTGCCGCATAGTAGGGGCATCCCAGCTCTTCGAATATCATGTTCCTATAATATTAGAAGTAAAATTCGAGCCAAATTTGATTAGCGCCACCTCCTCGTTCATCATGATCTCCTGATACAAGAGGTAAGTATTGAGCAGAAAATAAAAATTATGATACCTACTCGTTCATTACATTCTCCTGATACTAAAATGTAAAATTTCCTCAGAATTTCGATACGTACCATGTATTTCTCGTGCCATCTCTTCGGCATTTCATTAATAGGAGACATTCTAGAAATTGAAGAGAATTAAAGGGAACTGTCTGGAGCCCTTAGGAGTTGTTAAGAGATATTAGGGGGTTTGGGAGGTGTTAGCGGGTGTTTGGAGACGATAGAGAGTGTTTGAAGGTGTTAGAGGGTGGTAGGAGTTGTTAGTGTGTATTAGAAGCTGTCAGGAAATGTCAGGAAGTGTAAAGGAGATGTTAGATATAAGGGAAATGTAAAATGCTGAAATTATAATAATTGATTTTCAAACATATTTTCAATTATAGTCCATTTTAAACTTTCCGCTGTAAATGGGCAACGTAAGATGGCTGATATTCCTATGTCCGTGATTTTGCCATTTCCCTAAATAATTCATCTTGATTTTAATTGCTTGCTATTGGTAGCATTGCATAGTGACAATTTGAAAAACGTGTCAACTGTCAGGATTGCCTTTGTAGAGTTGTTTTCGTGAATTACGTTACAAATATCTACCGGAACAATGGATGATATAATGGCTTTAAAAACTAAGCACATGAAAATTACAGATTCCCAGATGAAAAAGTTATTACAAGAAAAAATTAAGTTAATGGATCATGTTAAAACCAAACATGATGAACATTCTAACGGTAATTGTATTGTTATTTGTTTTTATACTTTTCTTACAGAACCGAAGGTGTTATTAATTTCTTTTTTTTTTAGAAGATGAAACGAGACTCGAAGAACTAATGTCAGAAGTATCCTCTATGAGAAAAACACTTGAATTTGAAAAGCAAACATTGGAGTACAAGCATCTCGATTTGTCTAAACATTTAGAGTACAAAGTAATTGTTTCTACGAGTTCAACATAATTTAATGTTTCCACTGTAGACATAAGAACAAATAAAATTAAATTTTTTTACAGAAAGATTTAGAAGCAGAAAAGAACAAATTTTTACAAGAAAATCAATCGTTAGAATTACAAAGAAATAAGCTTAAAGTCTGCAAACAAAATTCAAAGGATCAAGATCTGTTGGATAATGGAAGGTTTGTACCGTATTATGAATCATTAACACATTTGTATTATGTTTATGCACTATATCAATTTTCTAACATTTTACTATTATATACTATAGAAGAAAGTATATGCTATATAAAGAATTGACTAGAATACGATGGGATTACGAAGATCTTAAAGAGAATGTAAAGGGATGTATCCTTTCAGTCAATTATATACTTTCATAAACATTTCTTACTATGTGTAAAAATATATCCTTAATTATAATAATAGATGTGTCAAATAAAAGAGATTACATTCATCATTTTTCTTACAAAAATGAGATTACTAAGGAATTGACTGACCTTTTGTGGAAAGAAATATATAAATCTACTATTTCTAAAGAAAATCAAGATCCATGTAATAAAGACTGTATAATAGAAAATAAATAACAAATGTATGTTTTATATCTGTACACAACTTTACAAATACATCAAGTATACACAATTTCTTGGTTATATTTTTACAGCATTGTACCATATTTAATGTATAATTATAAGTTTCAAATATTTATAAATTCGTGTACCAATTTCTCTGTTTATTATTCTTATCACCTTATTCTTATCCTTAAAAATTTCAGATTTATGCTTCCTCCCCAATTATATTTTTAGTCTTCCTATAAATGATGTAACAAGTACCCAAACACAATTTCCAATAATTCGAAAGAGCAAAGTATCGAGAAGAAACTTCACTCTTTAATCATACAAAAATATTAAATCTGAAATCTTAAAGAAATAATTCAAATAACACCCCGATCATTGATATTGCAAATTTTCGAATTTGCGCGCCTTTAGTTCCTAGCGTACTTTCTGTAAAAATGTCGCTTTATGCAACGACAGGTACGTCTGCTCGGAGTTCTTAACCTCTATTATTAGTCGTGTGTTACACGAATAAGTGTATTCGAACATCTACTTTTGGTTACTGAAATTATCACGATATATTGACAACTGGTAACCAATTAATGGAAACATATTAAGCTTAAGCAACTGTGTACATATTTGGAAGAGAGAAATACGATCGTCAATTCGAAAAGAATATGTCAACGTTACTTCGACTCGTTCGTTCTCAAAGAAATACAAGCAGACTGGTCTGTTTAGCAGCGAAAAATGTAAAGATATCCGATGTCGCGTGTCGAGGCGTGTCATCGACACCTAAGAAAGACGAAACTGCCTCAATGGAACCGTACAAGGTGAAAAAGACGTGGGCTAGCTACGGATTCGATCATGAAAACGAGTACTTGGATCGACATTATATGCACCTGTCTTTTTTCACATGTATCAGTTGCCTTTTTGTAATCGGTTCATTCATAGTTGCTTATCTACCAGACCCAAACTTGAAAGATTGGGCGCGCAGAGAAGGATATCTGCAGCTTCGATATAGAGAAGAGAATGGCTTGCCCTTAATTGATAAAAATGTCGTGGATCCGTCAAAGTTCGTTCTCCCAACTGACGAGGAACTAGGAACGTTCGAGATAATTATATAAATGCCATAGAAATAACATATACATAGACAGAAATGAAGAAATAGCATTCTTATATCTATTGTAAGAAGGTTATTGTTCCGTACATATTTATGATATAATACTTAAATTTGTAATGATATGTACAATATGCAATAAAAAATTTTCATTACAAGCATCTTGTTTCTGAGTTTTAAAAACATTTGCATGGGGTATAATTTAAGGAAGGAATTACATTTGTGATCTTATATACATTAGCAAATAGTTAGTTTTTCATAGTAATTAAACTTAATGAATCTCAAGATTTATTCATATTTGCCATTTAAATAGTACACAAATGTTTTAGTTTGTCATTCGGTTAAAAACTAGAACTTGTAATCTTATGTAATAAAGATAAATTGTATAACAATTAATATTTCTTAAATTACCTATGTTATAATTGAGAACATAAAAATTATATAATTACAAACATGCACAACAAAAAGTGTAAGCGGAATAATTCACGTGTAAAGATTTAATACTTTTTTTTCCTCTTAAATGCTTTAATTCAATTCTAGTTTAACCGTTTACTTTACCTATATACAGAATTACATAACTCTTTTTCTCCCATACTTGAGGATTTGTGTACACCGCGTTCAGATTAGTAATAAAATACAAACGCACAAAGTAGAATGACACGATATAGTTGCAATATATGCATATGCGCCTTTATTTTACCTTCGTTCTTCAATATGTATATTGTTATAAAACAAAAGGACATCCTCGTTTGAAATATAACGATCGTTACTGAGTCGACGTTACTGTAGGCGTAGGGATGGTACTGACGCCGGTCATTTGATTTTGTTGAAGAACAGGTGTATAGAAGGATGTATTCTGCGGTAAACTCGCGCTAACGGTAATAGGTGGCATGCCGGGCAACGAGATTGGCGTTGTTACAACGTGAGATTGAGGCACGTTGAATTGCACTCCAGGTGACATTGGAACCATTACAGACGTGAAATCTTTCTGTGATCCAACAACACCAGTTGCTTCGTTTGAAAATGTATTTGTGCTGAACGTTGGTAAAGGTGGAGTAGTTGGCATCCCGGGTATATCCGGCATTACGTTTTGATGAGATGAAACATTGTTACCTAAATAAAAATAAAATATTACAAATAACTTTCACTTTCATAATCTAACTCTAAAATTTATTTATAAACACTTACCACTTGTAATATTGGTAGTACCTAGATTTGGTACAACTTGAGGTACAGGATTAGTAGTTGTAGATCCTCCAACAGTAGCAGGATTTAATTGTGGAGCGGTATATGTTTGTATGCTTGGTGTATACACAGTTTGGATTGTGGTGGTTTCAAGTTCAGATTTTGTAGTAGTTTCTTGGGACGAAATGTAATTTGGTGGAATGGAAAATCCTGGTGGTATACTCGTAACCATGTTACTTCCTCCTGTATGAGTGGTACTTGTTGTTACCTGACTCGACACAGTGGGCTTGGCATTGCTCTAAATAAAAATAAAATTATCAAGTAAAATATTTTGTATTTAATATAATATGAAATTAGAAGAAACTGTTATGTACCATGTACGAATTATTGGACTTATGCTGTTGCACGTTTCTAATAGGTATTCTATGAAGGTATCCGTATCCAATTCCACAACCCAAGCTACAAATACATTGAATTAACAAAACATTTAAATACAACGTTAACTATAACAACAACTAGTACAAATACCTTCCTTCGCCACCCCAGGTATGATTAGGTATAATGGTAACTTCTCTACAAGAATCGTCTTCTGTATTATATACATATAAGTTTAGAGATCGAGATTCGTGCGCCTCTATTAAAGTAAATAAATCCTCTGACTCGTGTAGAACTGAATCGGCACTGATAATATAGTCTGTGAATGGTCGCAGCCCTGCCAATTCAGCAGGAGATGATGGATGTACTTCCTACACAATACATGCATGCTATTGATACAAATGTTATTTACTTTTGTCATTTTTTAATTGTGGTCCACAAAAGATTATTATATAATCATCCTTTGTTTCTGTATATATACTCACAAGAACATGCCAAACATTTTCATTGGAACCTTCGAAAGAACAAAACCTTATGCTAACTCCAAGAAGACCCTGTCCACCCCATGTGAGACTAGGTACTATAACAGTTTGCCTGACAGATTGTGTTTTACTACTATACACTGTAATTGATAATTTTTGGTCCACGCTGCTTTTGAGTAATTCTTTTAACATGTCATTATCTTGATTCTGAAAAAAATTAATTCAGATTAAAACATGAAATACCAAACCATTGTGTATGTATTTAAAATTTATATGTCTTCTTTAATAATCTATAAATGTAAAATATTCGTTAAAAACAAAAACAATGGGAACATACCAGACGTGTATTTCCAATAGCCACAATGTAGTCAAAGAATGGTTCCAGGCCAGCTTTTTGTCCAGGGGAACCATCCTGAACCTGTTTCAAATGTGAAGACCAAAATACATTCCAATTTACTACACGTATAATAGAAGAACGATTACAGTGATTTAAGAATATATCAACATCCGAATTGTAATCCAATATTTAATATTGAGTATGTAATACTTTTGGTGAAATTTAGTAATTTATATATGCTAACATAGTTTGCTATTTCCAGTTACATAAAAATTTGCTTGTTAAAAAGGATAATGTGAAGTTGCAAAACGGATTAAAGTATTCTGACAAATTCACTTACCCTTAGTACATGGTAACCTTCTGTCCCACCTCCTGGTATTTCAATACTCTGGGAAGATCCCATTTCTGATCAGCAAATCTTTTAAGTCACTTGGTCTACAGTAATAAAGACCATTAAAACAATTGTTGCTTAGAAATTAAGAATCAAAATGGAAAAATATGTATCGCGAGAATATCGTACAAACTCGTTGGTGACGTTGCTGATCATATGCAATCTGTGGTTCAAGTATGCTCAGGATTAATTCAGTGTTACCAATGTGAATGCTCCTTTTTCAAATGAGTATACTTTACAAGTATCGATTCTAATTTCGAAATTGATTTGTAATATCGATTGGAATTGTATTTTTACGTGGTTGATATATCTATTACGAAATCGGTTAATAATATTAAAATTGGGTGTAGTATTTTTTAAATAAATAGTGATACGAAAAAAAATACAAGTCAACGAGTGGTCAGTAGTAGTAAAAATACTGAAAAAGGGATTCGTAATTAATAAACTTGTAACATTTAGAATTGTTTGCATAGTTTTATCAACATTATTTTGTAACTATAATACTGACTTGGCACTAGCGGCGCCATCGGTGGGAAAATGCCCAAGTTTGTAACAAAAATAGTTCCCACCGTTTCTACTAGATGACGCCACCGATTTCTTTAATAACAATTTTTTTTTTTTTCAGCAATCCATCATTAATACGTTTCTTGGCTTCATATCTCTGCAACATATTAGTTTAGATTTCAAATTTATTATTTGTATGAATTGTTATTTAATTCAGCAATAATTATAGACCCCTTTTGTTCGTGGCGCCATCTAGCGACAACATGGTGTACTATTTTAGCTACAAACTTGGACGTTTTCCCACCGATGGCGCCAGTGGTGCCATTTTTTATATATATATATATATAAATATATGCAAAATTAAATTGTTTTGTAATCGATAGAAATTATTCCTTTTAACATCCATTTAATAAATAATAAATGAATTAACCACTTATTGTTGTGTTATAAAGCCAAGAATCGTACCAATTATGGATTGTATATATAGTATAGTTGTCCCATCATTTGCGCAAGCGTCTCACATTTAAATAACGTTTGTAAACAACTGTCTCGCATTGTTTAACTACTCGAACAGTTTCTACTGTCAATATAAAGTACAAAAAGGAAAGATGGATTCAGATATAGAACAAATTCATAACATTGTGCTCGATGCTCGTCTTCCATCAAGTACAAATCATTTGAAAAACCCGACGGAGCAGTTCGTAGTAAATTTAATAACAACATTTCTTCGAAGATTTCATATCGACGTCGGAGCAATTGATAAAGTGAGTGATATTATCATAACATTATTCATTACAATCGTTTCTTATTGCCTAAGTATAGTTTTACTGTTTTATATAAATTCAAATCGTAGCCAACAATAGAACAATACGATATAATGTCGTACAGCGAAGACACAGAAATAATTGGGATCATAAATTTGCAAGTTGCTATGATACAGTTATGTGAACGAATATATATAAAAGAGTTATGTATTACGGATATCATTAGTCCAGGTATACATTTTATTTACATTTGATACATTTAAAATTGAAAACGAAATTGTCCCAATTAAAATATGATTATAACGACTAGGTTCAAAAAGGGTACGCAAACAAGCTAAATTTCTTGCAAATTTTATACTATATGCGACTACCAAAGAGTCAGACATAAAGGACAAAATTAGTAAAATTAAAAATAAGGTGAAAACGTTACAGGACATAATAGATAGAAAGAATGAAGCAATAGAAATGATAAACAACAAGGCATTGCATACAGCAAAGCAGTTGTCATTGAAGAATCAAGTAATGTTTTTTTAATAAATTAATTTATATCCAAGCTAACTTATATCTATGATCATTGATATTTTATGTTCTCTTAGTATATCGCAGACATTCAAAAACTACAGGCCAGACTTGAGAATAACAACAAAATACATGCCGAAGTATTGGCAAAAATGTCTTTGGAAGAAGAGAGAAAGCAACCATTAATAGAACTTAATGGATCTTATAAAGTAGAAGTTTTGAAAGTAAGCTAAAAATTTAAAAACAGAATTTAAATAACAAGTGTCTAATCACGTATAAACTTGATACAAATAGCAGTGTATCCAATGTAATTACAGTTGAGCAAAATTGTAGTGGAATTACAATCAGAAATTGTGAAGTCTCCTGAGAAATATAAAATGCGTTTAAAGGAGTTGGAAAAACAACAGACTTCTCAGAACAAACAGCGCGAATTGATGCAGCAGACATGTCAGGATAAAAAACACTTAATTGAACAACAGAATGTTTTTCTGACTTTTATCCAGAAACAACAGAAAAAATTTAGTGAAGTTCCAGATACAATTGAGCAATTGAAGTACTTTTACAATTATATTATCAATGTGTAATTAAAGCTTTGGCTTGTTGCTACATCATTTATATATAAATATTTTTTTTCAGAAATATAACTGCAGCAGGAGACAGTAGCAAAAAGCAAATTGAAATGCTCAGAGCAGATATAAAGGAATGCGAAAAAAGACTGGAGAGGCAAAAAGATGAACGGAAAGAGAACGAAATAGACGGACTTTGTGCACAATATGATGAACGTCTTTCTTCTTTACGTAATTTAAATATCCAATTATCAAGGTATTGCAAAATACGATAAATAATATAACAAGATTCATTCAGATTTATACAAAATATGTACTAATTACAGTAAGAAAAAATTATGTCAAGAAGAATTAAAAGAAGTACTTGTTAAGTATAACGAAGACTGCTTAAAATTGAAGAAAATGCAAAGTACTATAAAAAAATTGGAAGATGAGACAGTAGGTCGTCTTAAGAGTTACCAAGATAACTGGAACAATGAAGTATTGACTGTAAGTTCAATTATAAACATTTACTATTAATGTAATATTAATTAAGTCAATATTATTCTTTCCAATTTTTCCTATGTCAATAGGAGAAAGCATTGTGGGAAACATGGATGAATCGTTAAAACAAATATACATACATTTTCATAAGACTATCTTCGATTATTGATAATATTGTATGATAATAAAGCACAAATAAAATTAGTTTTTAATATTTTGTTTAATTGCACGTGTTAACAATATATTTTACATAATCATTTATATATATATATATATATATATATATTTAACTGTACCTATTTATCTAAATATTATTTTTATTATTGTATTATTCAGTAACTGTGAAACATTAATATTTGGAATGATAATAAATACGCAAGGTAGTAACAGTATATGTATATAATTTATACAATAAATAATATAAGTACTTCGGTTCTCTTATTATCTTGTTTCAATATGTATTTTTTATTACGGATATTGCCATGTAGTTTCGATATTCATGACTTTCAATGCTTCGGTATTCAGATGTTTTCTACATATATATATATTGATAGGGGTAAATGTTTCATAAAGATCTTCTACTTTTTCAATGATAACAATGAGTTTTACTTATTTAGGTGAGGTTTTTCTTGTATTAAAGTTAAATTCAAATAAGCCGTATACTTGTTTTAAATTCAAAGTACAAAAATTTACTGCATTCGTGAAATTTATCATTCGCCAAAAATATAAATTCTTACTGCCTTTATACAAAAGTTATTTCGGTGTATTCGTTAAGAATTAGAAAATAATTAAAACACTTCAATATCATAAAACCGTTACTCGTCTTTTAACACATTAACGATTACAAACATCCAAGTAAAAATTTTGCATTAAACTTTTTGTCGAAGCTTTAATTTGACATATTTGTTCAAAATGTATTTCATTCCTAAAGAATGTGTAATTACGATTAAAAAATATATTCATAAAAATATATACTATATTGTGTATTCACAATTGTTAATGTGCTAATTGTTGTTTCGTCGTTACGGAAAAATGGAACATTTTGTGCAGTGGATTGAAATGTAGCTTTAATTTTGATACAACTTCGTTAAGAAATTTTAGAATACTGTTTTACCAATAATCGTGTAATACAAATTATTGATAGACTCAATTATACCTTCTGTGCAATAGTTCTGTATATTATATACATATTGACAGTTTTAACAATGTAACAAGCTTTAACAGTATGATTACAAACTAAAATAATGTACAGTATTTATAACAGCATATACACGAATTATCATGACTCTATCTGCACAAACGTACAAGATTCCGTGGTTATTATTTCACAGTTCGTAAGGGTAATTAGTATTTGTCGTAAAACTGGAAGGTATACACTATATACATAATGTTCTGTTTTGCAAGTATCTATATACGAAAGGTCCAAGTGCACGAGAGAATTCGTTAAATATTTATACAGCGAGGACTTTAATAAATAGTGTTCTCTTGCCTTTTGTACAAGTATTTCAACAAATTTAATAAACATTTACCTTATTACCTTCGCGATACTATTTAAAGATTTTCTCTGTGCAATTCTTTAATACTCATAATCTGTACTTCTCCCCATTGTTCGTATAATTTATAAAACACATTGCGCAGTGAGCGCACTGTGTTTAATACAATGTAGTATACAATCGAACTAAATCTGTAAAACTTAAGTCGTCGATACAATTCATTTGATTAAATTACTCTACGTGGCAGTGATACAGAAAAATAACTTCTAACTTGCTTAAAAATAAATTAATCTACGAACTTGGTTTTCTACTTTGTGTATGTCTGGAGATAATTTGTTCATGGTGTGAATTATTCGTACAGAACTTTCTAAATGACATAAAAAATAATTCGTTCAAAATTTGTTATTTCTCTAAATAGTATACTAGATGTATGTATTAGAAAGAGTTTGTTTATATTTTCCAAAGTCTTACCGATTACCAAGGGGCTATCTAATCGAATGCTTCTAATATTCGAAATATAAAAAAAACAATACAGAGATGCGTGTCGAGCGCGATATTTTATTAATAATAAAAAAGAAATAAAAACAAGTTTTATTTTTTTTTTATATATAAAAAAAAACGTTGTGTATCGTTGATAATTATAAAAATATACAGAAATAAGAAATAATTTCAACCTCCTATTGCAACATAATACATTTAAATCTGTATGTCATACGAACAACTTTTCAATGAAGCTAAGATTAAAATATATATTCTCTCTCACAAAGATAATATTTCTTTTATTGATATCTCACAAAACTATGTAGCATAAGCTTTCTTAAAGAGTATGACACAAATCAGCCTTCTTTCGTTATGTGATAGACTGAATTAGATGATTGTTCAAAAGTTGTAGAAGCATTATAATAATTAAACATGTTCGTATGAATGTATTGTATAATTCTTTTTGTTTTAATATTAATATGCGTATAACTTTTTTTATGTTGAACACTCTGATTGGTTAAAAAAAATTAACGGTAGACGTTTCATTGGACTAACAATAAGTAATAATGTGATGCAATATGCAGTCTTTTCAAGTAAATACCAATTCCAAGATTTCATATCTTTCGACATGATTAATTTGACTTTTAAAATTATTGTTTATTGATATTCCTTTGAATATGTTTCCATTGTCATAGATAAAACAGTAAACAATCAATGTATATTTTTGAAAGGAACTTATTTTAAACAAATTTTTGTAATCAGCACATATTTTTAAGTATAAATCCACTACTAATTATAAAGATTTATTTTCCAGTATTTTGCTCCACATATTTTTGATTAAGAGTGATGTTATACTAAATGAGAAACTTTGATCGTAAGTATAACCTTGTATGTAATTCAACGATATTCGTATAATTATTTTAAATAAATGTCAATTACAATCATGCATAAAATAAACAATCTACGAATCGAAAGACCTTAGATCTATTAATCTTACGATTATGGAAAAACATTGGTACAAATTATTTCGAATTTGTTACAAGATAAACATGATGTTAGCTAAAACATTTCTTCACGTAGAAATTCATACAAAAACACATTTTTATCTAAACATAACTTACAGACAACTCTATGCATATAGGCAGGCATAAAGAGGTATATTATAGAAAATATGATTGTTAGGAAAATTATCCGATTTTTCTAAGTATATTTTTTATACTGTCTGAAAAGACAAGTCAGTCGTGTTATATTCTGTTCACAGAGTATCCAAAATTTAAAGATATAATAAATAATATTTTCCATGAAAATACGAAATACTTCCGATGACTTTTGTATAATCTGTAATCGTTCTTACTTATTTGTTGTGCTTTACATTTTGCAGAAAAATGTTGACACAAGTATAATACCATTAAATTTGATAATGAATATAATTTAAAGGAAAATATAAATAAGTACATTTTCTTTGATTTAAAAGTATTTATGTATTAAATTATTTAAATATTAGATCGGTAACGATTAAAATTATAACATTTTTCCTTTTTTTGTAACAGAAGTCTGGTCATACTTCCTAATTGTTAAAATCATAGAAAAATTATAAGTAAAAAGGTTTGCGAAAAGCATAAATCTATTTAATACATTAAAAGACGTGTCGTAAAGACAATTAACAGAACCCTTTAATATACATTTATATACATCCATCAAAGGAAAACGTACATTGTTAGTTATTGTTCCCTTCCTCGTTATTTGTTTTCAATTTTCTAAACTAATTACAGAGATCGGTATAGTAATGAGCCATTTCTAAAACAACTCTGAATACGATGAATCCTCTGTTTCTAATCACAATATACTTTCTTCAAATGCTGCATTAATATTTCTTAGAAACCCTTGTGATCCAACGAAAACATGTATAAAATATGTTGTGTAAGTTTGTAACAATAGAAAAGCATAAATTATACACAACCGATTTAACAGAAGAATGTAGTTGTTCAGTATAGCCCACTACTACTATTTTTCTTGATTTATCTCGGATAATTTAAACAGAGCTAACCTGAATAGACGAAGTCAATGGTTCTGTTTCATTATGTGTTCTTAGATTAATAGGAGTTTCCATATTAGTATTATCTATATCGCTGCTTAATGCAAGACGTTCCCCCTCGATCAAAGAAACATTAGAGTCTCGATTTCCATCGATCTCCGTTGATTCACTATTTAACATTGAGGAACTACCTTTGATACTCTCCTTCGAAGTTGCCTGAGATCCAAGTTTTTTCTCTTTTTCTGACGCACCGACATGAGGAGCCTTGGTTACTTTGCCATCCTTTTCCCGTGGCTTCTTCCCAAGTACCGGGAAATTCGTTATCTTTGAAGCAGTCTTTTGATCCTTCGATTGTCTCATTGAACCAACTCTGTTTTGCTCGCCGGCGTCTTCTTCTGTGATCGATACAAGATTGCTCTTACCTTCTCCTCCAGAATCTTCCTTTACTACTTGAATCGGTATGTCATCTAAACAAAAACAAAAACAGAAAAAAATATAGATGTATATTATCACTAAAATTCAACAAAAGTATATCGAAGTGTAAAGCAAAAAGTAACAATGTTTACAGTGTCAAGCTTCTTAAGTTCGAAAAAAACACGATTATACAACTTACATTGTAAGAATAAGGTTCAAAGCATTGAAGGTTTATTCTAACAATGCAAGTTTTGTCCATAATTAGTAAACAGGCGAAACAGTCCATAAAACTTTTTATTCGAATATCACAATGCCATACGCTAACTTGTGCTTTTACACAAACATGAAATGGAAGTTGATAATAAAAGAGGAGAAAAAGTGAAAGGATTAGAGTGAACCTGCATTAGAACGTAATTTGATATCTTCAATGCAATCAAACATGCCGAAAGTTCATGCAATTCCCCATTGTGTGGTGGTTCGATATACATAATATGGTTAGGCTTGTAATTGTATGGTTCTTAGATGATGGTGTCTCTGAAATGAATTATCAATAAATGCATAAACTGCTGCTAATTAAATCGTTTAACGTTACGTATCGTAACAGCTAAACTGCCGTGTGTTTATTGGAAAATGTTTGGTAATCCTAAAGTGCTGAAACTGAACACTAGAATACCATGTATGCGTCGATAGAACAACAGTTGTAATATAACTGATTGATTTATTTCCTTCCAAATGTAAATTCTCCATCGATTCGTGGATCACTTCTCCTAGAACTTGCTCTTCCAATACGCTGTACGTATGCCCATCAGAGCTGATTTTGTCCTCGTTGTAAGCCCAATCAGAAGTTTTCTTGTGCTCCTTTCTCATTCGTAAATTCGTCTTCGATGTATGATCTTCGTTATGTTCAGATGTAATTTTGTTCGCGTGCTCTTTGTTCCTTTTAGGAGAGGATTTGTTAGGTGAACACTGATTACTCAACACAGTTCCACGTTTAGAACTCTCCAATGAAGACGAACTGACTTTTTTAATTCTGGCTTTTTCTTCGTCCGAATGAACGATTGAACGCTTTGACTGCCAAGGGAACCGTTTCGATTTGCTTAATACTGCTGTTAGCTCATCATCTTCAAGTTGAGTAGCGCTGCTCAGTTCGGCCGCGAATAACTTCTCATCCAGATCGTCTAATGACACATGTTTGCAACCAATGCACATTTGCTGAATATCCAGTAATTTTTTAAATGTGTTTATAATTGTATGAATGTTCAAACTTAATTCTGTCTTGTACGATTAAAACAAGTTTCCTGATACGAATTCAAAGGACAATTTGATTCGTATGAATAATTAACGATTGCTATGTACATTAATCTCTAGACATAAATTAAAATATATTTACAAAGATGGTTCTGCATGCAATAATTGTACAATGGACACATATTATATTCGTGCATGTTCATTTCGGTACGCTTGACTTTCTGTATATGTATATGCAGCGTATTTATCTTAGACTTTCCTTTAACAATCGCTATACGACGACATGATAACATTGATAACATGCTGATTAGTCGTAAATGATCTAATTAAAAACAAAAAACTCCGTATACTGTGCAAAAAATACTACTATGAAACAAACATTAATAAAACACTTGGGGGCATTAATTTGATGAATTATTTTTCGATGACAATTATTAGTAGACATTAAAAGATAATTTTCAACGTGTAACAGCGCACCTGGTAATTTTTTAGTTCGGAAGGAGGCATTCGTGATCATCGATTTAGATACCGTCGCCGTTGCACTTGGTGATAACGCGACGCTAATGCCAATTGGTCCATCGCTACTGAGGTGACCTGAAATTATTAAATACTTTTATGACACTCACTGCTCCTTATTACTGGCTATCGCAATATTTAAATCGACATTTCGCATACCTGATGGCCCAGAACTGGCAGAATTGCGTATAGCGTTTGTGACTAGCATAACATCTGGGTATGCTTCGTAACATGCTCGATTATGAACATCTTCCACTGCTTGGTTTCCTAAATACCAGCAATCGTTATACCTGCAAATATATGTTACTCCTTACTTATATGATTTTGTGTTATATGTACGTAATACTGAACTCTAGTAAAAGAAGAGGATTCTATTATATAGAAGTATTTCTTTTAGTCTCTTAAACTAAATATTTGTTGATTTATAATTTACTATTAACAAAAAGTGATGTATTACACACATAGCAAAATATACAGCATGCAAGAATTCAAGGAGAAATTGACTGGACACGGGTATACGAGGTAAAAGCCTCGGGACAAAACTAGACTCGCTTCCGTATGAAGATCGTTGATGATGTCCAGGTTTCATAAATCCTTGAGTAACAAGCCTGTAATGAATTATTAAATAAATCGTATGAAAATACGTTAAGCGTATGAAAAGAATAAATTTCACCTTACTTGGTAGCAACTTTGCATAATTGTTCCAAAGCGAATTTACTTATGTAACCAAGCTGTTGATTGTAGATAAAGAGAAGAGCGGTCATAACTTTCAATCTGTTCTGGGCATTCAGTGTTTCTACTTGCTGTAGCGGCCCCCAACTAACTAATTTTGTATTACATTCCTCGAATCTGCGTACCGCATTCTCCGTTAAAGAGGCAGGTGCTAAACTTGCAGGCTGTGGAGTAGAGGCAATAAATGTTACAAATGAAATTATATGGGTGTTCCATTTGTATTTATTCGTAATAAATACCTCGTGAAATATGGAAAGCATCGCAAGTGATGGTAATCTAAAAGAAATTGCTTTCTGCTGTCCAGATTTATCCACTATTTCGAGATTGTACAATCCAATCAACAATGTTTCTACAGATCGACAGTTCTGTAAAAGAAGTTCAATTCGAATTAGGTAAAAAGCTAGTGTATAAGTTAAATGTCTTCTTCAAATAAAAATGATAGATTACATGTTTGATCTTGATTCACCTATGTTCTGTAATTAAGTAAATGACATGATAGTTGTTCCATACTAGTCAAACTTAAATTATAGTTAATTAGAATTATATAACATTCATTTCCATACTTTTCAAATGTCATGACTACATGAAACATTAACGACATTCTCATTTAATTGTGTCTTTTCCGTTTAATTGCATACATAGTCTTACCTTAATATCACCGTGAGCTGCAGAATTTAAATAAATGTATACTAATGTTGGCAAAAACTGCAAGGTAAACCTCTGCAATTCCGTTTCCCGAGAACGGTAAAAATTGTATAACTGATCGCATACGGTATCCACCAGCTGAAATTAAAAATGATTTAGAAAAACTTAGATTGACAAATAGTCATGTGTATACATACATATATAATATACTAACTACCTGGCTATATTTACTACGTTCTTCCAAGAGCACATAAAGCGCTCTGACAATCTCGTTGTCTTGCAATAAAGTGGTAGCGAAAGTGTGGAGCTCCGAAAGTGAGACATCCGCGCAGTCTGCCAACCATTCATTTATCAAGCTCTCCGTCATTTTTACTTTCCTCTCGCCTGTGTCAATAAATCAGGATCTTGTTGATGAGAAATTTCGGCATCCAAAATAAATCATTCAGCACTTTGACGATCATTACACTGATTATCAGGGATTATTAGCTGTTCACAAACAACTTCTACGAACAATGCCTCGAGCATCCATCGTTGGTCTAAATTAAAGTCTATTCTCGTATTTTACGATAATTTAATCCTAATTCGAGGATCGAGCGGTTCACTGTCGACAACTGTGATGAAGTGAAATATCGTTAACATCGCTTAACGTTACTGTCACGAGCAATTTCGGCGTTAAGTTCCGGTCTTTTAATCTTGATAACGATCACTCTCTTATCAATCAGTAACAGTCAACAGAGCTTAAACTTATTCAAGATCATGCTCGAACATCTTAAGATCATCTCCATGTCTTTCCTGAACGACACTCGAATTTCAATTGCGAGTCTGACACTTGTAACAACTTGTAACTACTGCGATTGAATACGTAGTACATAGATAGGCATGTATCTATGGTTTATGGTAGATATAGATATCGCTGATCATTATCCATATTACTAGAAACCACTAGATTCACCAGTGGTGAGCGGTCCTATCTTCCGAAAAGTTTGGTTAGTTCATGGTTCAGCTGAGTTCGTCGCCATTTTGGCTATTTGTTAAAATTCGTCGACAAACCGACGAAGTCCTCGACCATTTTGAGTTCAGCTTCGTTCAGGTTCGTTCGAAAAAGTCGAGTGGTTCGACATGTTTTTCAAAAACTTTTCATCGTTAGTAATAACGATGGCAAAAAGAATTGATCCACCTTGAAAGAGTGAAAAGTCGTACGATGTGATTCATTATTTAAATCATTTTTAGGAAATGATCAGTCCACATGTAAGTGTGAAGTTTTATTAACATGTTTTTCTGTTCATTTCGCAACGTGGATCTGTATTCCTCTTAAATTTGTTGATCCAAAGATAACTTCAGTAATCTATTGCAATAGTCGTATAATATTGTTGTAATCGATTAATCCTTATCGTCTATTAGAATTTAGAATATATATTTTTTGTTTGTAATTGAATTGTAAATTACAATTTCCGAGTAATTTATGATGAAATCTACGACCGTTTACATGATATCGTGATTATTTAATACATGCACTACCAACTGAATGATTTCGTACAAAGTAATTCGTTATTATAATTGTTAATCATTATTTAATTCAGTTTTATTCGTTGCAGTTTTCGCAAGAGAAATATTGAAAGGAGCCACGTGACAATTGTAGCAAAGGTAAATTTGTGGTTAGTATTATTTTTTATCGTATACAAACATTCCTGTAGTATTCCAGTATATGATGATACTTTCAACCACTAATTATGATACTAGTGATTATTTTTTACATGCACTACCAACTGAATGTTAAGATCTAAGCGAGAAGCAGTAGAACTCGTGAATTTAGATTTTATAATTTTACTCGTTGTATTTTAGGTGACGAGACGATTCGACAATGCTTCCACTTCAATTCGCTGGAGGAAGTAATAGTACAAACAACGACTAAAATTTATAGATGAATATTCGTACGTGTCCTGTATTCTTTTATATGGTGAAATAAAATTATTAAAAATAAACATTTTAAATATATTTACCATCTTTTGCTCTTTTCCATTTTACTACATATCATTAATAGAAATAATACTACCTTAAAAGAGGTTTATGAACTATATTTTTTAAAGGCAGATGATATGTAAAAATACATATATTATCTATATACAATATTTCATATCGGTGCAGCAATCAAGATATACATATATCATACATATGATTAACATTAAAACACAGATGAAAATGTGAAGAGAATTCGTTCTCTCAAATAAAATTTCAATTCATATGAAAAAAGGAACTTATAGTGAAACGTTTTTATTTTACAAAACGTCACTATAAGTACATTGTACTTTCAGTTTATAGAGAATAGTTCGGAAATTATCTAAGTTCCCGTTTGAATAAAAACTGTATAATTGTAAGTTACACATCAAGCATGTATAAGAACGTATAGTTGAAGTGCATAATTGCATTTATCTTTCAAAAATTTAAGGAAAAATGTCAAAAAATCATATAAGTTTGTAAGTTATACTAAAAATCTTTCCAGTCTGATCAATCATCTTAAAATTCATTTTATAAAAAAGAATATCTATATACATATATAAATAATATGTAATTCGATCTCATTCTGTAAAAATCTAAGTTTTCTTAGCATGTTCCAAAATCAAAACTAAATTATAATTTTTATAGATTTATCAGCATTTACTTTGAAAAATATCAAATTAACGAATGATCAAACTGGATTTTTAGTGTACGAAAGTATGCTTTTTATAAACATATAACAATCAAAATTATACATCGAATAGTTTTTAACTTAGGTCATAGAGTATCCATTCTACAAGAAAAAATGCATTGAAGAATAATTTTTTTTCTATGATGGTAAATATGCGTAGGATACAAAAAAAAAAAAAAAAATATTTTCTAATGAAATCGAACATAATATAAATTTTCTTCTACTTTCACATAAAACTCATTTAATCGCATCACTATGCAATTTGTAGTACAGCGCGTAAATTAACAATAATAGTTGAAATATTTCATTCAATTTTAGAAAATATGAGAATAAAAATTTAAATCGCGTAACGCAACTTAATGAGTTTTACGCGGGACATGTATGTATAACGTAATAGATAGTTTAAAAATATTGTATGTACCCATATTTACCTAAAACGTAATTTCATACATACATTTTGTGTGTGCTGTGTGTATGTGTCATGTGTAATGCGCGCGCGTGTATCGTGTTTAACACACGTGCGTGTGCATGTCACTTGTATACTCATAAGTATACAGAAATCTTCAAGGCACTCCTGATATATATTACATTCATATTTTACAAATTCTGTTCTTCAGTTTTTCGCACTTGAGGCATCTTAAAATACAAAGTAAAATAAAACGAAAGCATTTCAACTACTGCTTTCCTATAGCATGTTTTCCTACAGTATAAATTATACTGCGGAGACACTTTATACACATACATGTTACAGCAGCAATGATCAAATCAGTAAAATTTTGATCTATTTACAATTACCTTCGATCTTTGCAATCCTATATTACAGTTTCGAAAACTCGTAATGGATTCGTTTTTGACAATAGTTCTACCTTCGAATACAACAGAAAAATCAAAAAACTGAAAAAGAAATTGTTACCTAACAAATATATCTTTCTTTTATGCAAAAAACTATGTGATTTTTAAATCGTAGATTGTACCTAGTAATTTCTAAATCGCATTAGCAAATAGTTTGTATAAGGCGTCTTTGAAGTATTTGTTACAGCGACAAATTATCTGTTATAAATTGACTACAGGTAAACATATTTTCTCATTTTTCGTAATTCTCTCGAACTTTCGCTAATGTAAAGTTCCCTAAAGTAGAGGAAAACTACACAAATACAATCATTTATAGATAAAACATTGCCGAAGTATTGTTCAACGTCACATATTCATTATAATCTAAATGAATGTGCTTCAAACATTGATGTTACTGTTTTGTTATCAATGTATGGTTTTTGAATATGTAAACGTCAATATGAATTTATATGATTGTTAAATTTATCCAAAATATAGATTGACTTCCTGAATATTGCCTATTTGCTGCCTTCGTATTTCATATACCTTTGGCTTCTCGCTTTAGTAATAGCAAGTTTCACAAGCCTTCGTATTCGCACTTAAATACAATATGTTACAGAAACACTTATTTATAAGAATGCATGTACATCACCATTGCTTACCTAACAACGTTTAGGATAATGTACACAAAACAGACATGTACAGATTTTTTAGCTGGTTAATAGTTTTGATACAATGTCTCAACATTAAACACCAACCTCAGTCAGTTTTCGGCTCGCATAGCTGTTTTAAGGATTTTAGTTCCTCTATTAACGTCTGATTTCTATTTTCCAATATTGCAACACGATTTTCTAAACACTTTATATACTCCTTCTTTTTCCTTCTACACTCGCGCGCTGCTTCTCTATAAAAAGAAAGTATTTACATATTTTTAAATTAAAATATAAAATAAAGAAATTAAAAAAAATCCGTGATAAGTAACCAAAACATTGGAGAAATTTTTATCTTATTTCGATCTTACCTATTCTTAAGCAACCTTAATTCTCTTTTTCTAGCCGCATCCTCTACTACAACACCGTGTCCTGTATAAGCTGGAACATTGCCAGAGACTGTACTCTCTAAATTTGTATCTTCCTTGCTTATAATTAATTAGTAAAGCTCAACTATTAATCAGTTCATATAAGTTATTTTTTAAAATAGCACATAATTGTTAAAAAAAAAACTTAAACTTAGAAATGGGTGTTTCGATATTATTAAAACAGATTCGATTATGCATCATATATTTAATCAACAACAACACATTTAACTGAGAAATATAATTGTGAGGAAATATGAAAAAGCGCGCACCTGGGACAAAAAACTGTGTATCTTGACCTTGCGCATACTGTACTATAGCTCCGCCCGCTGTTGCTGCGTTACTCATAGTTAACGTATGAAGTCCTGGAACACCCTCTCCTTGGGTTGCAATTTGAATGGTACCAGCGGGAATTACTGCAAAGTACATTAACTTGAGCTATAAAACTCAATTATACGTAACTCGTAAAGAGAAGAGTACCTAGCTAAGGGTTTATCAAATAACAAATAAGTAAACAAACAGCCATACTAGCATAGTTTAACTTTATGTACTATTAAATGTTTCTATCCTCGATTTGGATCATCGTAATTTTTTCTTTTTTCCTTTTTTTAGAATTACAAAACCTGTAAGCAGGGATGCCACACCAAGCAGATATAATATAAAATGTTTTTTGTAAGCGGTACACACAAATACAAAAGGAATTACTCTATTTCGATAGTTCTAATTTACTCCTTGAACATCGTTTTTTTTTTTTTTTTTTTTTTTAATGAAAGGACAGAGGCTAGGATATGCACAGAATTGAACGATATTTAGGACAGCCAGGAAAGATACGTAGAAGAAAAAATAACCAACCTGTCTGATAATGGAGCGAGTGGGAAGATACTTCACTGTCCACGTTAGAATCACACTCAGAAGATGATTCTAGAGGGGGCAATCGACCGTCTGTAACACCGAATCAGTATATCCCCCCATTATAATAAATCTGTTGTATCGGTGTTAATTTAATTCCGTCTAAATAAACTTGAACAATTCCCACAAAGTAACATAAATTTCATAAAATGTTTATATAAATGAATTTTTCATAATACAGCAACGTAAATAATATTTCTTCTGAAATAACTTTCCTGATTGCATAAAAATATATAAGTAAACGTTATTTTAAATGAGAGATCTGCATCCAGAAAGTGAAATGATATTTATGTAAGTAGAAAACATAAAGACGGAAGTAAAAATTATACGCTATTTCCCTTCTGGCTGCTGTATACATACACATATATATCTCACAATGCTGTGCAGTCAGCTCATACATAAAGGAAATAGATCGAGGTAGCGTGAAAATTAAAGGTAAACAACGATTGAACAGTATGAAAAAGCATAGGAATTCGTTATAATTATTTAGTTCTAATAGAAACGGAACAACCAACAATAAATTGAAATCAATAAATATAAACGAATATCGTCATTAATGTATCGTTAAATTTGGTACCACTATTTAATTATAGTGACTACAAAATAAGAATTATCGACATCGTTTAATTCGTAATTTGCTACTATTATAGTTAAAGTAAGAAAGTAACTATTTTGTTAACGTAAATATATGTGAGATTTCAGTTACTTTAACAACGAAAATTGTTTTTCTCTAATGCAATGTTATGCGCACAAAGGTAGCGGTTAGAGGAGAGTTCACTGGTTTTTTATTATTAATAAATTAAATTTTATTACGATAACCCACACGCTAAGCTTGGTATGGCATTCCTTCTTTTTACATACATAAAATTATATGTTAAAAATATATGTATAATGTGTCACACTCATTCTCCTTCTTATAACTTTAAAGAAACCAAACACGTTTAAATATTTACTTCGTAAAAAATGATTTACAAAAAAAATATCTACATTTATTTAAATAGAAAATAATTTTAACTAATTGAAGACAATGTCTAGTATAATAATTACGTAATGTGCTTAAAATAATACTAATTGTATGAACTGACATGCACTTTATTATTTTCTATGATTTCATATACTATTCAAATTGAAAACTGTTATATGCAAGTTGATATCAAATAATTGTATAGTAATTAATAATATTCTCAAAAACAAGAACAATTTGAAAGTTGAGAATTTTAATTTCTCTCTTAAACCTACGATAATTTTGTTTAGCATTTTCATGAAATATTTAAATAGGGTGAAGATAATCATACCTGTAATTTCACCGCCACCTAAATCATTGAGAATTTTCTTATAAGACGGACGTCTGGTAAGAATACCTCCTCTCTGTTCTGGCGATTCTTCAGAGTCCGAGAAACTATCATCGCTACCTGTCTCGACCACCTATTGTATTAATATTATAATTGCGTATACAATTGTTATTCTTATAAGGAAATATAAACAAATACATTTAATATAATAATTTAATGGAGGAGAAAGTTACCTGAAGTGTCTGCAAACTTGCTTGAGCTGTTTGAATAACAGAGTTGGGTTTACTAACAAGAATAACATTTCCTTTTGAAATAGCAACAGGTTGAATATTTGTTGCAGTCTGAATTACTGATTGCTGATTAGGTTGTATAACAGACTGTACCTAAATTAACAGATAAAAATCATGAAATAAAATACATATAACTCGTGTTATTAAATGTATAAATTTTAATATTTTTTTTTTAATAAACTTCAAACATAGACCAAAAAGTAATGGTCTTTATAATTCTTTAATGTTAGCATGCATATCTGAGTAGCTATGAACTAATTACAAAAGAATAAAATATATGTTTGTTTATAGTTTGAAAATATTAAGAAACAATATTCAATTGATTCATAGAGAAAAAGAAATTCCAATTTTAAAGTCGAACCAGCATTATGCAAGATTGAATACATACACAGTGCTCTTCGATTAAACGATTAACCTTACAATTATAATTAAAGCATAAATAAATTATGTATGCATGCTTCGAAACAAAAGATGTAAATAAATGATCAGACATAGATACACAGGAGCTTCTCCTGTATACCTGTGTTGTTCCTGACGAAGGTAGCGTCAGTTGCACAATGCTGGTAGAAGCTACCAGATGATGAGTTTGCTGCTGATGTGTTCTATTGAGAGATTGTACCGATGTAGCTATTGCTGGTGCCGCATCTTGGGGACCTGTAGCCAATGGGTCAACAGTTGATCCATTTTCTTCAACCATACTTTCCATAGCCTGGGAACCTCAAACCCTACAAAAGAAATACAGTTTTATATGTACATATATCGGTGTTGTTTCTTTGTTCTTGTTATACATTCATTTACAGTTATCCTTATAATATTAGCGATCCATTAAGTATATTTAACAAGCAATCCAATATTACTTTAATCGTTGGTTACAGTTTAATAACAAGTCTCGGTGCTACAGATCAAAATATTTAAAAAGATACTATACTAAGCAGCAAATGATTTTTAATTCAGAAAGTCAAATATAAGCGTACTTGAAAATCGACAAATCGACGTTTAAGAAAAGAAAAACATTGTCAGAGCAAGTTGGGTCGAGGGATTCGAAAAATATATCGACGGAGAATCGAGGTTATCCCATCGAAGCGTAAGAGATTTTAAATTTCCCGCCTGTCAGCGATCGGCGGTGCTACTGCGTCATTTACATAAGCAGATCTAAAAATAATATGAGAACAATAAACACTTAAGATGCTTTCGTGCGTAGTCTAAGGGCCAGGAGTCATAAAAAAAGGGAAATACGATCGAGCGTAGCTGAGATTCCAGCGATCCGTATCACCGAGTGTCGGTTAGTGGTGAAAAGAGATGTCAGAACCGTCACGTAACCCCCATTGCCCTTTTCGAGAAATTCGTACATCTTTCTTAAGGCGCCATATTTTACGGCATATTCCATAGCAGACGTAAAACTGTCCGTGCTGGTATCACGAAATCGAATGCTCGTAGTTTCGGCAGCATTTCGTATGTACGGTAAGTGCAGTGGTCCATGCCCGGTTGTTATTATTCTCCAGCTGGGTACTTACCAGTTACGTATTTCTCGTCACCAACTTTGCTGCAATCGGAGTGGGCAAACGGGCAGGTACGTAGCAGCCACGTCAAAACTCCAGTGGCTTCGTCACTGGTGGAGCCCACGACCTCCGCGCTGCGCGTCACGATCAAAATGGCGGACCGTTTCCCTCCACCCTCTCGTAAGCTGATCGTGCATCGGATAGTGACGGAAACCATAACGTCGTGCGCGAACGATATCGACACTATTGGCTTTTTCTGAAAATTTTCTTCAAAGTCAATGAAAAGTCGCATCTTTCAAATCTACTAACAATAATTTACAATCATGCGATCGACTCGTTCATAAGGAGAAATAGTTTCTAGATCTCCGATAATTCGTTTTAAATGATGTCCTTGAATAAATGTACTGTACGCGCTATCGTATATTATTTTATTACAGCGAACCACTGCGTATCCCGCGTGTAATTTGTAATGTTACGAACTGTCAATTGTGAGACGTAGTAATTTCAACGTAATTTTCAATTTGTTTAATTATACCCGCGGTTTCGTTGCGCAGCTGTGTCAATATAACCTGTTCGTAACATAACAATTTTCCATTATTACGTTTTATTCCATGAACATTACGAAGTCGTAAAATTATTTAGATCTCACGAGCAATATTACGATTACCGATAGTATTGTTAACGATCGAAATTGATTATTTATTCATCATTAACGGCATTGTTTTGATTGTATGAATTATAAGATTTTATCGTTCAAAATTAGCTCAACTTCATACTTCATTTGTATTTGTGAATTTACAAATATTTTTGATACCAGCTAGTTTTCATTTTTTGTTCTCACTCTTTTGATATTCAATCTTTATTATTATTATGAGACCATGCGTCATTCAACCACAAATTAAATTCGTCTGTGGTTTCGTCGTGAAGAAAACTGATATTATTCAAGATTCAAGTAATCATTGAATCAATGACCTTTGGTATATCCTGTTTTCTTTCATAAATTGCTGTTTTTAATTCGTTCATTCTGTTACTTTACACGTTGCTTTTTAGTCGTGTTTCGTGGTATACTGAAAATTAACATCTCAACGAATATTTTCGAAAGACTACGAATAACGTACCTATTTAAATGCGCCACAATATATCGCTATGTATTAACGAAATTTGTATATCGCTAAAAATAACAAATTGCGAAGGAAAATTGACTAAATAGGTCCAACTTGTATCGCGTTGGAATTTCGTTTTACGTCCTTCGATTACATGTTTTTTCGTCAACGGAATACATATGTTAACATATGTAAATCGCATGATCTAAATTACATACAGTACATAACAGTATTCACGAATACATAAATTATATAGTAGCTCGGAAGAAACTTGTAACGGTGCTGACGTCATTCGGTGACGTCATTGTCATATTCATATGGATACACATATGCTTCACCAACCCTTGACACGGATTCGTGTCGAACGAGGGAGAAAGTCATCGAGCATCATCGAATCTTGTTTCCCTTCCCCGGTTAGTTTCTATTTAGTTATCGTGCTGGTAATATGCTTATGTAATGATACATTAATTTTACAAAAAAAAGGGCTCAAAATCATGTTTGACTATCGCTTAGCCACTACTGAGTTAATAAATGATAATTTAATCCTTAAATTATTAATTTATGAAAAAAATCACCATTTATTTTATACCAAAGAATAAAAAGAAAATTACAAAGACTCATTGATAAGGCATTTGTAGCAAATTCTGTAATAGATGCACTGTAAGCTAATGCATATTTAAAACTGAAAATATCAATTTTAATATCTCTAGTATAGTAACGAGCATTATTAGTATATCTAACGACTGCGAGAGTGCCTCGATTATTACATAGTGTCGATAAGTGGCGGAGGTAATTGCTAAGCGATAAGGTTGAGGGTAATATGGAGATGGGCTACTACTGACTTTTTGATTATATCAAACAGCGATGGACATATATTTGTATATTTTTTCATTATTTTTGAATACGCGTTAAATGTAACCCATATACAATTTCATATAATTTTATAATGAAAGAAAAAAGCTGTATACGTTTCTTGCGTATTCATAAATGACTGTATTATCGTCGCATAATACGAAGTACTTGTAATATTATGAATTAACATGGAGACTGAGATATGTCTTAAATTCATTATACTTACAATTACGATGCGTATCAAATGTTGTATATTTCATTAAATGTTGTCTATATAAGAAAAGAAACTAAATCTACATTTGCATCCCACCCCTGCACCACAATCGAATGAGTTTATTAAAAAAGGTTCACCCGAAGTGTACGATAATATAACTGATTATAATAAATGCAGTGCAAAACGTGACAAAATTGTATCATTGCGATTGAATTACGTAAATACTAAATCATGAACTGATCAAAAGGATCAGTCGTTCTGTAGTCTATTTCGTTACTATTTTACTTTGTCATTAGCCATTATTTCTAATCTTCTGACAACTTTTCCAAGATCGACTTCTTTTTGCAATTTCAAATAATCTACTTTCCGTACATTATGTATACTAGTCCACATAGGTAGTAATTTACATAGCAAACGTATAAGCTCTTCTAATTCATTGGGAGTTAATTTTGTTTTAAACGAGTTCTCCAGTTTTTCAATCACAAATTCCATCGTAAGAACTCCCTTTTTTTCGGCTACAAAAATATTACGTAGAATCTTGGCTAACTCCGGTAGCCTTGAATACATCGAAGCCTCTTTATCAGCGTTTGGTGTGCGGGTCATTGCTTCCAATGCTCTAGCAGCCTGTTTAGCTCGAACCTAAAAGCGATATATTAAAAAATGGGACATAAACAAGAAAATAAGTACTGCGCGTGATTTTTTATGAAAATATTTACCTTTTCAAGTAGAGACTTAGGGATTCCTTTCAATGCCATATTAAGATAACTGTTTTGCGTATTTGGCGTATCTGGCGGAGTATCGACGATAGTAATATTCACTTTTCGCATACCATCTTCGGTTTGAGTTGAATTATCTTTATCGTTCTTCTCTGGAGAATGAGACTTTGAAGTTAATTTCGCATCAGCCAATCTCTGTAAAGCTTTCTCCATGCGTGTACCACAATTGAACATTGATTTTGCTTTGTCTGAAAAGGTCAGTTTATTGTTAATACAAAAATAGCTAGAAAGTATTAACAAATTTATAAGACAACTCTTACCAAGAACATCTTTTGCAGTTGTAAGTTTTTCTACATCGGGTGGTTGTGGCAAATCGGCTGATTCGATCGGTTTACAACTTTCAACGTCGAACTCAGGATGCCAACGTACAATTTTTTCTTTTGGTACACGCATCGGCGTTTCTAAACTGAGTAAGAATTTCTCATGTTCATCTTTAACCATATCTGTAGTAAAAAGAAAACTATGATTATAGATTATCAAAAAAAAGTTTTCAATGATTAGGGTTTATTATGAGACAACATTATTACCAAGCAATGTGTTGTAAAACTTCCTTCGTCTATCTAGCAATACTCGCGGGCCCATACTAACTTCGGATGCAGTTTTCAAAACATTATCCGCATCTGGTGTATTTCTTCCATCTTTCTCTTCGACAATGGGTGTGAAAACTAGCTCATATATATTCTGTTTAGATGTAGAACCAAACGTTCGATGCTTCTCTTGGTGATAAGCGTATGCATCTGGGTAAATAGTTTTGATTTGTGCTACATGTTCTAACGTGAAATTTTTACGCAGTAATTCTTGAACTGCAGGTTTTAACTTCTTGAAAGTTATTACTTCTTTGCGATTAAAGAGCATTGCAGAAACCTTTGAAATCATTGAAGTATTATGTGAGAAATTATAAAATATTCACAGTAAGAAAATTATATACAGAATAATTTTTTATATAATGTAGTACCGTATCTATGCATCTAAACGCTTCTGCCAAGAACCTATACTTATATGGCAATGGCAGAGTAGCAGTGCCACTTTCAACCAGAGATAAATACTGTTGATAAGCTGGTGCTTTAGTTGGGCTGCCCTTTGCTGGACTTGGAGTTTTTTCCTTAGGTTCAAATAAAATTCTCCTTTGAGGACTGGCTGTCAATAATTCTTTATCCTTTATAGGAGTCAATATCTTTTTGCTTGGCGATTTATAAGCTTTTGTTGGACTACAAAAAGTAAGAGAAATATTACAAATGGCATGAGTACTAACAAAAATTGCTTTTTTATTATAAGTATCTTACCTAAGTGGTATTTCAAGTTCAATTTTCTCAAACTTCTGAATCTGTGGCTTCTTGACATCCTTTTGTTTCTGCAATTTCTCCAATTTCTCTTCACAATTTCTGAAGCGTGCAATTCGTTCTCTCAGTTCATTAAGACGAGATGACTTGTTGATTTTATTTTTAATTTCATTTAACGACAGCTCTTCTTTCATCAACCTATTCATAGTTGAACCTTTTTTTGGAGTAGTGCAATTGACTACAGACTGATCATTCATAATATTTGAGGACGAATTTTCGGTAGATGCACTCTTTTTCGGTGTACTTGGAGCTTTCTTTTTGGGACTCAAAGCACCTTTCTTCTCAAAAACTACTTTGGTTTCATCTTCTGAAATTTTGTGAAAGCTATCCCGAATATCTGTCTGTCCCTCTTGTCCAGACAGCTTTCGTGTTCGTGTAGCACGAACTCTGGCATTGTTCCTAGCCGTTTTTTGAGCGTTTGTTTTAGGAGAATCAAATTGAATGTTGCGAACAGCTGGATTCGAATGTACAGCACGACTATCCACCGATTCCTTCCCTGAGACCAAAATGATTTTAGGACTAGTTCCCATTGTTTCTTCTTCCTGAATTGGAGTCAAGGTTCCCGACGACTCGGAACTATCCTTATTTATCGGATTCCGATTTTGACTATTCAATAATTTAGAGTGATCCCGTTCGAGAAGCAATACCTTCGCCTTACCTCGTAAATCGTCAGTTGCTTGTCGTTTGCGCGTATTGAAATACGCCGTTACTGACGGCTGAGACATGTTCTTTATATACGGATATATATATATGTGTGCCACAGAAATCCGTTAAAGTTTTCAAAATTTCGATTCTCTATCTATGGACCTCCGATCGCCGTGGCGATCCTTATCGAGTCCTATCAACGATGATCAACGCAACTTCTGCACAAAAGCCCGCCGTTTTTATCAGTTTGGGCGCTAAACAGCGCCAAGTTACAGAAACAGTGCTGCCTCAACAGTAAACAATGGGTGCGATTTAAATTTCATGTCCTGTTTACATTTACAGCATAAGCGCGACATTATTTCAAACATCGAATTTTTTATATCGACGTAAATTAGTGTGTAATTGAAGTAATATGTACAGAGATCATTGGTAAACAATGGGTGCATTATCTGCATCCATTACTGATCATGATTCATATAACTAGAAGTTACTAGACTTACTAATGGTGAGCGGACCTTACTGAGCGCTATGGTGAGCGATCCGAGTAGTGGCGGCTATTTTCCTTGTACTCGTATTTCGCAATTTGTAAACAGGGCTTCACATTGATTTCATATATCTTTTGGCGCCAAGTTAGAGTTTTGTAATTACGTTCATTTTATAATTGTAATCGTAGATAAAGATTAGTTTGTATGGAAGAAGATATGTAATCTACGTTACTTACATACTTCGATTAAGATATCTGTATATTTAATGCTATCATGTTCCGTAATTATTGCCACACACCTTTTAAAATATAGTTGTACACGTGATGGTATTTTAGATTTCAAGATGTTTTATACAATTTCATATTATAGGATCAAGTATAAATTGGCTTTCTACTTAGCCTTCAAAAATAGTTTTGAGCTAAATACATCTATAATAATCTAATAATAGTATAATAACATTGCTGTTTAGTTAGAAATTTTGAAATTTTACAAAATCTTTGTAAATCTGACGAAACCTCATGTACTCAAAATATTAACATTTTTTGATAATATTTAATAGTGATATGCTTTTTACGACACGTAAGTTTATCAGTATTAAAACAATCGACCTAAATCCGTTATATCTATATAAATCATATGTTATCTATTATACTAACATTTTATAGGTTATAAGATCTACATTATTTACAAATGTTATTTAATCTTTATATTATATTGAATCACAGCATCTTTTTTTCAGATTATGAATATCACTAGGAATATGGGCTTAACTTTGAATAAAATAAGCACCATTAAAAAACAATTATTTTCACCTAAATATTTACTTTATACGAACGTAGCGATATCCATTTCTCTTTCTGCTGCAGGAGATATTCTAGAACAGCACTATGAAATATTGAAGGTATACAGTCAGAATAATTATGTGTTTCAATTTCTTAGATTATAATTTTTGTTATGATCTTTATTGTAGCATGAATGGGATAAGTGGAGTTTAAATAGAACTAGGAATATGGCTCTGTCTGGTATGTCTGTTGGTGTAGTATGTCATTATTGGTATAAATATTTGGATGCCAAGTATCCAGGTCGTACGATTAGCCTTGTTTTAAAAAAAGTTGTTATAGATCAATTAGTTTGTTCTCCGCTTTGTATAACAATGTTTTTTGTAACATTAGGTATCTTAGAAAAAAGTAATTGGTCCGAACTAAAAACTGAAATTATTAACAAAGCACATAAATTATATATAGCGGAATGGATTGTCTGGCCACCAGCACAAATTTTTAATTTTTATTTTCTGCCAACTAGGTACAGAGTTCTTTATGATAACACTATATCCCTTGGTTATGATGTTTACACTAGTCAAGTGAAACACGATAATCCAAAATGCAATCAAAAAAATGCTAAACTTTGACAAATTCTATTTGACTATAGAAATATAATTTATTTAAATAAATAAATAAATAAGAAGTAATAATTTCTGCTGATTAGAATAAAACATACTCTCAAATCAAGTGATCTTATACAAATTTTACAATATTGTAAATTGTATAGAAAGAATACATGAACATGTACAAATATAATTAAAGTAAACTTCTGTAAAATTATTTATTTTCCTTGTAAAAATTAATAACAAAAAAGAACTTAATACGTACGTTGTTTTTTTTTGTTATATTTGTCGTTTTAGAAAACTTTCATGGAGAAATTTTACAAACTTATGTATCTATTATATGTACAGACTTATGCAAAGAATGTTCTCCCTGTAAATTTTTCGTTCAAAACATGCCATCGTGAATACCTATAGGGACGAGGACCGCAATAAATAGCAATAAGTTACGAGCCACCAATCTCCAATCATTTGGTACTGCGTACGGTGCCAGAATTTGAGTTAACCTATGTATCTGACGAAGTAAACAAACGATTGCGACGTTACAATTGTACCAATAAAAAGTAATTTATTATACACATGTTGCGTTTGAACACTTACTTCGTGACTTGCGCAGATGAAGATAAATGATGTGACTAAAAGATTTAATACTGGAAATCTTGGTAGTAACACTAACACACCATGTGAATCCGCTGCCAACCAAATGTGACCCTGCGCGACTAGAGTTTCCAAACTGATTCGACCCAAACCAGCCAAAAGAGCTGAATGTTTACCACGCAATGCTAACGATGCATTTCTGAGCGCGATATATCCTATAATCTGTAGTGAAAAAAATTAATCGTACTTAATATCTAAAAAGGATATCTACAATGAAATTTGTAGATCATTACCGGTATAAAAGCCACGTATGAATGAATTTCTTCGCATTCTGATACCGAATGGCATAGTATCGTGAAAGTAGTATAAGCCGTCAGGGAAATTAATGCCAAAACAGAGGATAACGCAGTTCCTGGAATGTGATCTATCCTCTGTAAAGCTACTAGACCAGCTCCAAAAGTTACACCCCAAGCCACGCTGTATCTGTCCACCCTCCAACGTGACCACCATTCGCGTATGTCATCGTCGGTTGTGACGAATAACGCTTTCCAAGGTCTCGTTACGAACACTTTTTCAAAGAAAACCTATTACATGACCATACAATGCATGTTTTTGTTACAATGCGAGCGTTATAATATAAATAAGTTATAAAGTAATACCTCCGACATGTATAATATGGTAATCATCGACACAAGACCTAAAAGTTTCAAAGCCAGATAGAGTAAAGCTCTTGGTCCATATTCTGTTAAACTACCAGAATATATTCTTGGCGGTAGCCATGCTAAAAAATAGATGACCAGAAACCAGAATGAGACCAGTGGAACGAAATGATAAAATTGGTATGGTCTGTTCATACAGAGGCATAAAGAGACTGTTAAAAAATTTAATCTGAACATTACCTGAAAAATAACGAATAAATAATATTGTAAAATTACATTTGAGAATGAAAATTTTTTGTTTAATACATACCCTGGCAAACCTAACTAGAGAAACATCACCAGTTTGCCAGAAATAACAAAAATGCCCATATCCAGAAAGGAATAAATAAGCAGAGTTAATTAATCTTAAGTACATATAGATAGGTAAGACGTTTTTAGCTCCAGTAACGTGGTATATTAATACTACTGCTTGCATTAGCCCTCTCCATTCATCTGTTTGTTCTCGGTTTAGAGTTCTTGGTCCTCTTTCTCTATCTTCGGTAAAAAATAATCCAAGAGCCAATATATATCCAAGTGGTAACCAAAAACTGAACTCGCTATAGTATTTATTCTCCTTCATGAAGAAATTTGTTCTAAATACAGCATGAAATCGTAATACAGTGATTATTAATAATATTAATTTAAAGAAAACAATGTAAACGTACCTGTCGCATAAATAAAAGTAAGCTAAAATAATAGATAAAAGAGCTAACGTTGTCATTAATGTATAAAAATCTTGTACTTCGGGTTGTTCAACCTGTACAACTTCAGAAGTATTCGCTTCTTCGGCATCTTCCGCTTCGACGGTGGTGACGCGTGAATAAGATATTTCACTTCGATATTGACAAAACTTTCTATACAACCACATTCCACCGCCAGTTATAATACTGAAATGAATTACAAAAGTGAATTGACTGCAAAAAGTGATCCATCCAACCTGGAATTATTTGTAAATAATTACCACAGAGCAAGACCAGACAAACTTAGTAGCTGTAACGTGGTTGCTGGTTCTGGATAACTGCAACAGCTCCCATCATCGAAATTCATGTGATCGTTACAGTAAGTGTTTAACAATATTTGAACTTTGTGACGCAAAGACAAAGGACTAGCTAAGTATCCGTCTGGACTTTGTTCTAAGACTCCGGTACCGACGAGTTTACTACTTTCCCATAAATGAGCTTCGCTATGGGACAGTATCTGTATATCAATATATAAATAATTTATCTATTCCTAAAACAATTGCCCTAGTATGCATAAAACGAAGTTTACCTTGACTGCTGCTTTATTACATAAGTTGATCTGTCTATTATCTATGCCTGCTAACTGAGCAGGTAGCCTTTCTTTTAATACCGGGTCCTGAAGTACCCATAAAAATCGTGTATTTTTACTAGCCAAGAAATCCACTGGTTGCACGAGTCTCGCTAAGCCCATACTATATTCGGAATACAGTTGAGTGTCGCTACTATTATTCGCGAGAACTGACGATACCGCGCTGCCTGCAATAATCAAGCTAGGTGCATCGCTTTTCTAAAAAATAACAGTCGTTAATTCCACTCAGTTTTCACTCAAAAACTGTTACAAGCGTTAGTATTTGAAATGTATGTATGAGTTACCATCCAAGCCCTTAGATTCTCAATCATAAAATTATCCAATCGAGGTCTCCACAAAAACTGTACATTTAACCTTAGCTGGGCATCATTGAAATTTAAATCAGAATTTTGAGGTAAATCTGTTAAATCAGATGCTTTCCCATCGACTATAAATTGCGATATAAAAAATTTATACAACTGCCTGATTCTAGCATCTCCGATAAATACAAAATGGTTATGGTGGCCCATGAAAGCTAGATACCTCAAACATCTGCGGCTATCTCTATATCAAAAAATCATATTGAATATATTATTCTTTATAAGATATTATAGATAATGTAGAAATTAAACTCTTACGTTTGGGTATAATAATGCATCATACAACCATAGGGCTGCCATTCTTTGTCTCCTTTGTATCTTCCTTCGGTCAATAACCATTTACAAGAATCGCTGCCTAAAAAAATGATTCATATTAATCTATACATAGGCTGCACACTTTGCATTACTAATGATACAAAAGAATGTTAATTATAAGAGAAATGTTAAATAATAATTACCATAAATAAGATGCATGAATCCATGATACAGAATAAAACAAAGGACAAGTGCGGTAGCTAATTTTTTAGCACTTGCCACTGTGATTAAACTAATAAAATGTTCTGCTGAAGTCATGAATAGTTTATTATTCGGTCACATTGACACTAGAAAAAGAAAAGAGCTTTTGAACAAGCAGCTACATTTCATAGCAATAAGTATTATGAAGATTATGCAACATAAATGAAAGGTAACAGCAGTAATCATCCATTATTCAAGTTTATATACTTTCTTACGTAAATATAATCACCTAAATATTTACACAATTTTTACATCACTTTTGACAAGTAACATTATAAGTAAGGAAAAATTGTTTGAAAAAGAACAAGTTGTTGTAATTATTTTATGTAAAATGACTTTAAGCACAGGTCGTAATTCTAACGTCACCGATTACTTCCAAAACGTCTTGTGCATGGTTATGGATAGTTATGCATATATAGAAACAGAAAGTAAAAATGACCGGTACAAATCGACGTTTTTGAAATTGCGATAAAATTAAAATTAAGAGCAATAAGGTGATCGTTTCACCTTGGGTGTAATATTTTGTTGGTAAATTTATGCGATTTATTTGGAAATATGTGTATTTACTAAATGTATTCCTAATAAAATCGCTCGTTTAGACGAGAATAATGGATTCGATCGATAAATGCGTGCCTTTTGTTCGTTCAATCGCATCGATAATCAAAACAAAGAATACAGTGTTCATTTTATCGGTATCCAACGTCGTGTTGGTAAAGAATGCTGTAAGAAAAAAAATCGAAGAGGAAAAGGGAGGAAAAGTCTCGCTACCTTTTGTACGCGGAAGACGGTTGTTGAAATGTTAACCTTGATAAATTAATTAACTTTCAAATTATAAAGGTGACCTTAATTTATTTTTAGTTGGACACTTATAAGTTTTCTTATATTCGTTATATCTGGCACAATAATGTTCAAAGTTGCTTCCTGTAGATATCGAAGATCGTATTAGGTAATGACAAAGGTCGTCGAAATCTATTTAAAACACCGCCTCCAAAATGTACCAGGTTTCACGCCTTTCTTTGATCCTCATAAACGATAGGTTACTTTCTTTTTTCATTTTTCGGTACACTATTTATGTATACAAAATGCTGGACAACAATAACGCGAGTACCTTGTAATTGTGCTGTTAGCAATAAGGGGAAAGTTACTAGTACGAACTAGAACCTCTTCTTTTTGGTACGAATCTATGCACACGAAACCTGAAATATTTACAATTCTTAATCCTTGTATTAGATGTTTCGGAAGTTCTTTAGCAGTCTATCGACGTTCATTCGTAACTGTCTTACCGTGTTGGGACAAATGGTTAACTTTCTCGTCTTTTGTCAAAAGACATTACATATAAGGATTCATTTGACAGCTCGTGCTACGTTTAGTTCAATTAAATCCTTCTTGTAAATATTTTCCTTCTGTCAAGTGTCTTTTGGCGCGAAACCGAATTGCGTGCTAGAGCAGGGTTCGACACGGTGACTTCATGGTGCAAACCAGAATGACTTCCTCCACTTTCGTACTAGCGCCTTATCCCCACCGCTCGTGAGTCTCTGACTGCGATAGCTTCGTGAAGAGAAACAGAGTCAGAGTCTTGTCGACAAGAGGAGGATGGATAGTGGTGCCAGGGCCGGTTTCGGCAATATTGGCGCCCCGGGTAAGATTATCGTGGCGCCCCTCCAGAGGCTTAAAATTTTTAAGAAAAGAAGATAAGGTAATAATATCAAACGATGAACCTGTAGCTAGATTGTAAAAATTGTTAAACTACAATATATAGCAGCTTTACTGATCTACACCGGACTACGATACCCCCAAAAATCTGGCGCCCCGAGCGATTGCCCCCCCCCCCCCCCTCGCTCTGTCTCTCTTTCTTTTCATGCAGCTGTCGCAGTTAGCTCCAGGAGCAGTGGTGGAAGGCACTAGTACGAAAGTGGGGGAAGTGCTCTGACTTGCGCCATGGAGCAAGCGTGTCGAACCCTGGTCTAAGGGGTAGCCGGTGATTTTCCCCTTAAACGGCAGAAATAGACGAACTATGAGTGTCCACTGATCGCAAGGGGGTAACAATCGTATATTGAATACTCGCCCCAGTTCGTGGGCACGGCTGTCAAGTTTAACTGATTTACGTAGTCCCCACTACGACGACTCGCGACTGTTGTGCGGCCACACTTTTTTACGCTAGACGGGACGGTACGAAATTTAGGGGAAAAAAATGCAAAACGCTGCAAATTCAACAGTTTTACGTTCTTGAATCGAAGAACGAACAAAACGAGTAATCCATGTAAATCGCAATGAACAGCGGTTATGTTTTTCAATGGAGAGCGACATAACGACAATGGCGGCAATGTCCCCGTCGAAGGTAAGTTAATATCAAAGCCACTCTATTGGACGTGAATCTACGTGTGTCTTCTTATTATAATTCAATAAAATGTTGAAACTAAGAATCGAACGTTCAAAGTATTCTATAATAATTCCGTAATGTCACATTGTGCATCAACGAAACGTAATTCACTTCGCGTGTTATTCGTCCAAATTTGGATGACGTTTCACGTCAAATAAGACGCGCTATCCTTTATCTGTGTAAAAAGTATTCCGAGTTGCTCGATTCTGTGACAGGAATTTATTTGTTAACAAAGATTCGAGTGAAATATTGCGGACTATATTTAACATTTCTAAAATTAATACAATATTTCTTTGTAAATACGTTGTTGTCTGTCTATACCGATCTTTATTTTTACCGTCGGCTAGCGATGTTACGATCACGATAATCCGTTTACGTAAATGCATTATGTATGTGAATTAATAGAGGTTTAAATATCTTTTGTAGTACATTAAATACAGTTAAAACAATTTATTACCAACCGCCGCATTAAAATTATTCTACTTACATGTTGTTTTAGGATTCTGACGTGTGTAAATATTATTTCAGCGGCGATTACAGAAGGAGTTAATGTCCTTAATACGTGAACCTCCACCGGGTGTACGCGTGGATGGAGATCTTGCTGGACAAAATTTAACACAATGGATCATTCATATGGAGGGTGCAAAGGGTACCTTGTACGAAGGAGAACGGTTTCAGCTGCAATTCAAATTTAGTTCTAAATATCCGTTTGATTCGCCAGAAGTTACTTTCATAGGTGGAAATATACCGATTCATCCACATGTTTATAGTAATGGTCATATCTGTCTATCTATTCTGACCGACGATTGGTCTCCAGCTCTGAGTGTGCAAAGTGTTTGTTTAAGTATCGTATCAATGTTAAGCAGTTGTAAGGAAAAGGTAAGAGAAATATTATCGTACCTTTCAACGACGTTTCGATTAATCAAAATTATCATTACAGAAAAGGCCACCTGATAATGCATTTTATGTGAAAACATGTAACAAAAACCCAAAGAAAACAAAGTGGTGGTATCATGGTAAGCATCATGCACATTTTTCAATTATTTAACAAATGATTATCTAAAAGCTAGAATTATGTATGATTTTCTTTTATATTTGAACAGATGACAGTGTGTAACAGCAACTGCTAAAATCGTTAACAACTTGTCGATGTGCAGTTATTGCTGGACCAATTGGAATGACATTTTTTGTGTCTTAAAATAACTATCAAAATTTCATAGATGAAATTGCTGAAGTAACTTTATCACGTATTAAACAAATTAGGTGCATAAGTTAGAAAACAAAAAAAAAGCAACGGCAGCATAGTACTTATTATTACAATAAAAAGGCAATGTAAAATGCGTGAGTTATCCAGTTATAAATTATTATAATGTTATTAAGAATGATATATATTATCCCACAGTTGAATAGGAAAAGCATAAATTACAAAACGCGAATGCCGAAGAAAAAAAGGTGCACACAATATGCTAGTACACAATGAAAGCATTTTATTATCAATGTAGGAAGTGCGCTGTAAAATTATATCAGATTAATATATTGCAGTAATCACTATTAATAGCGTAACACCAAAAATACACCAATGTTATCTCATTTGTTACCCTCACTTATTTAACATTATTTTAAATAAAACGTAAGCAGTTATTTTGAATGGATCTCATGGTGTGCAATCCAAATTAAGTATAAATATAAGTATACATGATCTAAATGTATGATATTTAGTTTCAAATACATTTCATTGTTTAACTATTGTATGAATTGGGACACACGCAATGTCATTAATATCATTGACCTGTATTATTGATCAATAAAATTTGTTCTTTTATAGAACCATGGTAAAAAAAAAAACAATAAAATGACAGATTTATTTTTAATCGCATTGTCAGGAACTTAAACCCATTTACAAAAAGATATAAACAAATAATTAGAAAGTTTGATAAAAGATTACAATTTGCTACTTCGTTCGTAAATTTAACGAATTGAAATAAAAATCATACGAAAGTAACGGATTACGTGCGTTACGTTGAATTTCTATTATGATTTAAGTATGTTAGGTTAGTTACATGGTACATGACATCAACTAACCTAACTTACAGAGCTTACCTAACCATCCAACAATTTGTCCGGAAATGCACTCGAAAAAAGAGAATAATTGTATGTCACGATATTTAAAATAAGTCATTTTGAAAATGGTTTTATGTTGTGCTTGTCGATACACGAGAAATATACGAAAGAGTTATTAAAATTGACAAAATTAAAAGCGACGAATGTTTCTCAAATTCGAAGTCAGTATATAGCGGGAGAGTCCAATATCGTTGGAAAATTCAAATAAATTAAAAATGGCCGCCTGTCAAACAATTAAAATGTTTCAACATGTAAACATTGTAAACTAAAGTCAAAGGTACAAGTACAATCGAAAACAACGTAGAGTAGCGTTTCACGATGCATATCAGAATGAGTGTACGTATGAGAAGAACAGTTTGCTGCGGAATCGTGATGTTGTTGAGTGTATTTTACTTGTATACAAATCGAAACCTGTACACAAATGTACGTGACAAAAATGTCTCGTTAAAGTTACTTCTTGCTGCTGCTATAAAAGCAGCCGAACTTGGCGGTTCCGAAGTAATAGCGGTACACGATCAAGTCAAATTTGAGATAGAGAGCAAAGGTGAAACAAAGGAAGGTAAGAAGGCGTTCCTTTTTCATTTAAATGTACATACATACTGCATTTGTAATATATCATGCGTTAAAGCTCATAATGCAGCTTAGAAACTTTATTTTTGGTACAAATTTTGTGCGATTAAACTTAACAGGTGTGAATGATCCAGTCACAGAAGCAGATTACAGATCGCACTGTGCTATGTACCATTCTTTGGTAGAGGCATTTCCTGGTGTAACAGTAATATCAGAGGAAACATCAAAAGATTGTGATAAAGTTACTGTGTCAGATGTAAAAGACTCTATTAATAATTTAATCGATTATAATATTAAGGACGAAATTGTGAATACAAATGACATTACAATTTGGATCGATCCCCTTGATGCAACTAAAGAATTTACAGGTATACATTGCAAACTTGGAATATGTAATACAAATTACATAAACAGTTATCTGTTACTTATTAATCAATTTTTAATTCAGAAAATTTGTTGCAATACGTTACAACAATGGTCTGTGTTGCTTTTAAAGGAAAGCCTATAATAGGTGTTGTATATAAGCCATTTGAAACAAAACAAAACTCCAGTTTGTTTTGGACGTGGACCAATCATGGAATATCACGAAATTTACAAGTACTACCAAAGGTAACGCGACTAATAAATTATACGAATAGATATGTTAACTAATATTTTTGAAAACAGTTGGAAGATGACAAACCACCGATTTTGATTGTATCGCAATCGCATGCTGGCCAAGTTCACAATGTTAGCAAAATTGCATTTGGTAAAGGTATCGAGATTGTTTCTGCAGCTGGTGCTGGTAATACTACTTATTAACTTTATAGTTTACCTACTATTTTGTCACCATTGCTCTATATTTCTTTATGTCCCATACATTTAGGCTACAAATTTTTAGAAGTTGCAAGCGGTAATGTATCTGCATACGTTCACATGACAGCCATAAAAAAGTGGGATATCTGTGCAGGAACCGCGATCCTTACCGCTCTTGGGGGTATGGTTACGCAATTGTTCGACCAGCAAATTATAGGTTTCGGCCCCAATGATTCCAAAGTACTTACACAGGGTCTTCTATCTACTATGAGTAATCATGCTTGGTATTTAGATAAATTTTCAAATATCTAATATAAAATATGTCCTCAAATGTAATGATAAGCTTCGAAATTCTTCCTGTAAGGATACTAAACAAATCTTCCATGTTGTAAAAATTTGATATCAGAAAATAATTCATGCGAATAATTTAAAACTTTTATTTACGAATCCTTATACGAAGTTTTTGTTTTTAATTGAATGTTCCTCAGTAAATGTGTTCTGTACAACAATTTTATACTGTAGACAATTACCATTATACTGTTTGTTGTTATCAACACATTCTTAATTTTATACTCTATGATATTGTTAAATTTTTATCAATCCTTTTTACCAAAAGAGACAAAAAAAAAATAAATTTTTCTTAAAGTAAATTTTACTTCACTTCTGTGCACAATGAAAGATTGTCCTTATTTCTTGTTGAAGTAACTAAATTCAGTAATACTATTAACAATAGTCAATGATTTTTATTACATTTTCTATGAAAAATTAAGTCAAAATAATTTATATCTTCTATACTAGTTTCACTTTCTCATCAGAAATGACTATTTCTGATATTTTCTTTAATTTTTTATTAAATTTGGTGGATGCTTTTTCATTTGTCACTGTATTCGAACAAAAATTCATGTATCGCGAAATGACTTTTTTTTGTAATCTTTTTAGTGAAATTTCTCCCTTACTTCGAACCACATCCAAGATGGCACTTTTCCAATCAAAGGTTGACTTTTCTGTGGTATTATTACATTGATTATTTGATGACTCAGAGAGTACAGTACTTTTACTTTTCTTTTTAGGAATCGATTCTTCCAGCTGTTCTTTGACTAATTCACTTTCACTTTTCTTATTGGAAATAGGTTCTACAATTTTTTCCTCCACTGTTTCAGATAACATTCTCTTCTTTGATTTTTTCTTTTTACTAACATTATTAGCTGTACCATTATCAGTGGTATGAGATTCATTAATTCCATTTTGTTCACCTTCAGTTTGATTTTCTTTGCATATGTTTTCATTATTTTGGTTTTCAATAACACTATTTTCCTGATTTTCAATTATATCTTTTTCATCATCTGCCTTACGATCTATTTTCCCTATTTACATATCAAATGTAAAGCACATTATAACGACCCATTTTGTTTTTAACAAATTATACTTACCATTTTCCTGTTCCTGCTTTTCTGGTGTAGTTTGTAAATTGTTTTTATAAGCAGTTTCCATTATATTCCAAACTTTTTCAACTACTTCTGGATTTGTTTTGTGACCCAAAGCATTCTTTACAAAGTTTAAAAACTTCCCTTTCTTTCGTGGAATATTCTCGTATTTCGACAACGTATTTAAAAAACTTCGTTCCGCATTCGACAAATTTACCTTGCTATTCAGTATATTATTTACAATATTGATCCATTCTTGTTGTTTTCGTTCGCCCTTATTTGTTCCTGCTTTTGGAACATAATCTTTTCCTCCGTATCGTTGAGCCTCTGTTATACATTTTGTGTGAGCTATATATTCCTCTCCTCTTAAAGTAATAAATAATGTATAAGACAATCGTAAGCATACGAATAAATTACATTTATTTGATATTAATTAATATTTACCGAAAATCTTTGAAACAGTCGACGCATGTTAAAAAAGGCGCGGTGCGACACTGAAATTCATAGTGTTTTGCTACTTTTGGCTTTTGTAACGTTTCACCGCAATTGTTACAAGTAAACACGACCATTTCCGTGATATTTCGTATTAAATCTACGAAGATTTATATTGTACGATATAAATAAAGTTGAGTAAATAAAATGTATTCGATAATTCCGTTACGATTAACCTAAAAATTACGGTCTACTAATTCCACGCAATTCCACGTGCTACACGCCATGGACTACCATGGACGCTATCTCATTTCAGAAGATATATCTATTTTAAGACGCGGGAGATTTGAAATTTTTGAGGGAAATTCTTTAAAATATTAGAAACTTGTATTAAATATACAGGATATTCCAAAAATGTTGTAACACCTTGAAAGAGGTGATTCGGGAGGTGATTTGAAACAACTTTTTCCTTAGCGAAAATGTCCGAGGCTTCGTTGAGGAGATATTAACGGAAAACACTGGCCAATCAGAGCGCGAGTATGCCGATGGAGCAGCCGCGGTAGCGTATGAGCGCAGCCGCCTAGCGCGTAGCCTACGTTTCACCGGCATACTCGCGCTCTGATTGGTTAGTGTTTTCCGTTAATATCTCCTCAACGAAGCCTCGGACAACATTTTCGCTAAGGAAAAAGTTGTTTCAAATCACCTCCCGAACCAACCCTTTCAAGGCGTTACAACATTTTTGGGACACCCTGTATGTATAGACAGTGAGTGAGCAACAGTGAGCAACAGTGAGCAACAGACAGTGGCAAATGGTGACAGATGGTGGTAGTAGTAAATGACAGTTCTCTGTATCTCGTTCTGAAAGCATGTTCTTCGATGTTAAGAGTTTATAATCCGAAATTTTTCTCTTAAAATTATTCGTCGTGTTTTAATATAGTTCCTATTATACGATGTGTGACATTAACGATGTGAAATTTAACAAAATTTTGACATAACTATAATCACCTTTTCGCGATCGTGTGATTTTGTCACGTCTATACAGGGAGGAGTATGATTATTATCTAATATTACCCACTTCACAGAGAAGATAATTTGTTGTTTCTAAGAAAAAAAGAAGGAGGTACTTATATTTATGTTTTTCATACTTCCTAAGCACATAGTTCTTTTTATCATCGTGACGTGAGTCATCACACTATAGATTATTGTTATCACAGATTCATTGCTACTGTAATCGTGAATGTACAAATTTAATTAAACCTTGTATATAATTTATTGACAAGCACTCCAATTTTGTTATTTTATAATAAGAAGTCATTTAATGAGTTTAAAATAGATAACCCATTTATCCTGGATAAGGTAGGACAATATGGAATTTCAAGAGCTTATTCCTCGTGGTGATAAATCTCAGAAAATATCTTGCAATCATATAATTTCAACTCACGTTTTCGCTGAATTGGTATTGCTATTGTAATTTGACACTACAGCTATCATGAGTCATCTCAAAGTATAACGTAGCTCTTCAAATGATCACAGACTAGGAAACTAGCTACAACAATTAGAAAGGTAGACAAGTGTTCTAGAAATTAAGCAAGGTGTGATAGTATGTAAATAATAACTAAAATATTCCATAGTAGCTAGTTAAAAATTTTGTTGGTTTGTATTAAGAGCATCATATTATCCAAACATTGTTTTGCAGGTGAATCAAAACATCCTTTTGGTAAACTATTGAAATGCCAAGTTCATACTTGTATGCTATAAATAATGAAGGACGCGTGTTTGGATTATCAACATCTGGGAACATGTGGCGAGAGTTCATGTACCTAGGTCTTGAGTTTAAGCAGTTATCAGCTGTACCACATTACATGTGGGCCATAGGTGGTGATCGTCAAGTCTATGTACATGTACATGGTTTAGATGTACCTATAAGAATTAAAGAAGAAATCTATGAAAATGAAGTGTGTTGATTATAATTATTTTAATTATTATCTTAGTACATATTATGTACACTTGATAATTGTGAGTAATGTTTACAGAGATGGCTTCCTTTAGATGGATTTAGTGGAAGGTTATTACCTACAGATAGGTATAACTTCTCTAATCAAGATGGTACGGCTGACCGTAGTCGAGATAAAGTAAAATTACCATCTATGGCTTGGCAATGGGAAGGTGACTGGCTGATAGAAACTACGTTAGATGGCCAACCGTTAGACCATGATGTAAATGCGGTTAAAGATTTTGTTTAGAATTAATTTAAGTTATCTGTATATGTGTAATGGATTGTTTCAGAGATGTTTTCTATGATTTTTGTTTACTCTGAGATCATGAGATTATTTTGAGTTACATTGTTAGAATTTTTCTCTTTGTTGTTGTGTTTCTTATAACTTTCTGTTTATACGTAGATTTGTTGTCAGTTGTCAACATCGAAACAAAGCGTAATGATCACAGAGAATCTGATATTTTGGTAGGGATGGACATACGCAGTTGATTTTCCAGCTACATATTCCACAAAAAAACAGTGGAAGTCCTGTGTTAGACGACGAAAATGGGTTCGATATAGACGATACAGCGCCATGAATTCATGGTGTGCTATTGCACCGCTTCATAAAGATCCAACTAAGGTAAAAGTTTTAGTCTGACGGATTTCGCTAACACTGGGAAAAAGTGTTTAATTTTTTTTACATTGTTAAGTTATCGAACGTTGCGATATATTTTCAGGAACCATTTATTGACATATCTGTGGGTGGAAATCAAATACCTGGAGGTAATCCTGGATGCCTAGTAGTCTGGGCAGTAACCGCTCATGGGAGGGTATAACTTTTAAAAAAATTCTTTTGAAGCATTTTAATAAATCGAGAAGAGTCAAATGAGATACAAAAAAAATAATGTTGTAATATAGTTCTGGTTACTGCAATAACTATAGTTTTTATCTTAATTTACCGTAACCCTTGGTTTAAAAGGAAGTAAATTGCTTAATTAACAATGATTATAATGTATAGGTAATGTTCCGTGTTGGAACTAGTACAACTTGTCCTGAAGGACAAAGATGGAGTGCTATAAAATTAGCCACTGGTTACGAGGTATGTCAAATCAGTGTTGGAATGACTGGTCTCGTATGGGCCGTATTGATGGACGGTAAAGCACTGGTGCGTACAGGTGTTACTAGAGAGAATCCAATGGGTATATAACTTTTGTACGATCGCAAAATTATCATTATAAATTGTCGACACGAATAAGTACAATTCTATTTTATAGGAGAGGACTGGTCAGAGATCGACCCTCCGCAAAAAGATTTGAAATTGGTACAAGTTAGCGTTGGCACGGATGCCGTATGGGCTATAACACAGGATGGGGGAGTATGGTTTCGGAAAGGTATTAGAGGTGATATGAGTGGAGTTTGTGAACAGGTGGCTATTGGGACTGGATGGGTAGAAATGTTAAGCAAAATGTCGCTAGTATCTGTTGCTTCAAACGATCAAGTAATTTTATTTATTATGAAAAGCGTATAAGTAAACTTTTTATATCTGTTTACACGTTTACTATTCTGTTAGGTTTGGGCTATTGGTCAGGAAGATAGGTGTTTGTATTATCGTACCGGTATTACACGATCGGAATTAACTGGTAAAAAGTGGAGGGTAATAAACGCTCCTCTGCAGCTTAGCAGAGCAAGTAGTAACGCCAGTTTATCGTCGACCAATAGACATAGTATGTGCGGTACTCCTCAACAACAAAGACATCAGAGTTGGGGATCATTGGTATCTATCTAATAAAAATGTGTTCTTATAAAACATATTCTAACGCGTTGATTTCTCTTCGATAATAAAATAATTATTCTAGAATCGGCCGCATAGTACCAGCGATGGTACAACGTTAATCAGAGAATGGGAAGAACAATCTCATTCAGCGCCAACGCCAACATCTTTAAAATTATGGCAACGGACAAACGATGGTGCTACAGGTAAAACTCCACACCAAACATCCTTCCAGGACATGTACCTGAACGATGGCAAAAAGAGGTAAACATATAAATAGTTAACAGAAATTATTTTTGAACTTGTTTTAAAAAATATTTTATAAACGATTATAGGTCTACAAATTCATTAGATATGGGTGATCTGACCGAAGCTAGCGTTGCGAATATAACCATATCGAACGAATCGTTGACCAAAACAGGTGAATCTATAGTAGTCTCTGGGAAAGGGATGGGCAGTACTGTGAAGGTTAATAGAAAGTTCAATTATAACTATTTTTAGATTAATAATCTTTCCTCGCCGAAATTGAAGTTTAAAATTTCAATAATATAGATCAATCCAGCTGCTTGGAGTCCCGTTCACTCGGTTGGCTCTATGGTAGGCGTAGAAGCTCATCCAGAGACGGATGGAAGTATATTCGATCCTGACTTAACCAGTGATTCTGGAGTCTATGGGGAAGACGAAAGCTCGGGTGCGATGTACTGGGCCGAATGCGATGCTTCCTGGTATAAAGTAGAAGCTGGAGCGTGTTTCCTTGATCCATCCAACCCTCCAAAATGGTATATCGAATACCGTAAATAACGAAATTATCCTACAATAAAATGTACAACTATTAACGTGCCTATTCGAAATTTATAAGGATCGCGGATACGAATGGCACGAATCACGGAGATATAGCAGAGTCATGGAGGATACAAATTTTAGAAGAACTGAAAAGAAGATTACACAAAGTACAATTTGATGCGACAATATATGAAAAAGTTGTCGAAAAGTGAGGTCTTGATTACTTTGATTACGTACATTGGAACAATAATTATATATTTGTAATAACCTATTGCAGATCATCTTGGGTAAAAACTGGCGATGCGAAATGTAAAGTTAAAGGTAGCAGTTCGTATGAAGATTGCGTAATTGAATTAGATTGGATAAGCAGCGACAGCGGGTCCCTAGATTGTGGAACAGTAACTATTTTGAACTCTCATAAAGTAACGACAATTGTAAGTTGGCGAAGAAGTAAGCGTTACGCTAATGTATCAAGTACGTTTTTAGCTGCCTAACATAAATTTGTTGTAGGTTCAATTTCCTATATCCGAGATCACGTGTGTAGTATGCTGTAGCGAACCTGGTAATCCACGGATAGCAATTCATACTCCTCGATTATCTCGTTCTAAAGTTCTTAGATTGCAGTTTTCTAGCGATACTGAAATGGAAGATTGGTTAACGCATTTAACTTCAGGTACATATAATTATGCATAATTTACATAATATAAATTCTAAAATTTCTTTCTCATCGTTAGTTTCTTGTCAAATGAATAATGTGTATGGAAGACCGGGTCCCAATTCGATTTGGACTACTACAGCATTAGGAGACGTGTATGTTTACGACCCTGCAGCTGTGGAAGTAAGTTACTACGTGAAATATATTACGCGATAGAGATTAGCATTCATTTTTTGTGAATTCGTTATAGGAAAATCAAATCGTTAACGACACATACGTACAAGAATTAGACGTTGCGGGAAAAGAATTGCCTTTCGAATGTATATTACAAAATGGTTTCGGTTATGGTAGTTCCCTGAAAATTACTATTTGTATTCACGATGACGCCGACAGGTGAGGAACGATGATTCGAATCAAGATAAACGGCAGTTAAGTTTCTGTTCTAATTTTTCATTAGGTTAACATTTAATCTCGTCTGTTATACGACAACATCTCTGAAACAAAAATCCGTGGTGGATAGCCACGATGTAGCGTTACACTTCAATCCGAGACTCAGAGAAAATATAATCGTACGGAATACATATCACAGCGGACAGTGGGGCGACGAGGAAAGAAACGGAAACAGTCCGTTGAAATCTGGCAATTTCACGTTAGAGATCATTTGCGAAGAACGGGGATATAGAATTTTTATCGACGATAGCGAATTTACTTTTTACAGTCATAGAATATTACCGCAGAGTATTACTCATTTACGAATCAAGGGATTGATGACATTGTGCAGTATACTTTATAAATCCCTGTCTGTACGTAATAATTTCGATTGCGATATAATGATTAGTATCGTCCGCGTAGAGTAAAAAGAAATTATAAAACGGTACTACTTTATATGATAGGTAATCATCGATCCGATTACGATGTTTTGGAGACAAATTGGCGGCCATTTGAAAAAAGTTGAAACCTGTTCCGTTGGTGTGACATGGGGTATAGGATATGACAGTACCGCGTGGGTGTATACTGGTGGCTGGGGTGGCTTATTTTTAAAAGGTAATGTAACCGAGACTTTCGTAGCATTGCGTAACGGTAGTAATGTTATACGTCGACATTTACAGGATTAGATAGCAATACGGGAATAAACACTATGGTCGATACTCATAATTATTACGTTTACGAAAATCAGCGTTGGAATCCGTTAACTGGATACACGTCTCATGGTCTTCCAACGGATCGCTACATGTGGAGCGATGCGAGCGGACGTCAGAAACGTACTCGAGAACATACAAAGCTGCTATCGATGCACTGGCATTGGGTGAGTTCATATTGTACCGAAGAGGCGTTACAAATATTTGTTTACCGCGCAATAAATGCACAGCAAATAAGTTTATGTTTTCAAACAGGTATCAGACTGGATAGTCGACTTTCATACACCCGGGGGTGTCGATAGGGATGGCTGGCAGTACGCCACTGACTTCCCTTCTCAATATCATGGGAAAAAACAGTTCACCGATTATGTTAGAAGAAGAAGATGGTTTCGAAGGTGTCAATTAACGACCAGTGGTCCATGGCAAGAATTAGGAAATACAAAATTGATCGATGTCTCTTTATATGTACGAAACGATCCGTCGTTACATTTCTAATAACAAACACAAGTAAATAATTTTGCGATGTTGCTTCTGTTAGGCAACTGGAAAACCTGGTACGGATGCTCAAGTTTACATATGGGCGGTAGCTACTAACGGTGAAGCTTTATTTAGGAGAGGCGTTTCGGAATCCTGTCCAGTGGTATAAGTAGACAATTTTACTAATATCACTGACTTAAATTTCTGTTTAAACCACACTATGAATTTATACGATGTTTATTTTTAGGGAGTTTCATGGGAACATATACCGAGTGATCAAGCCTTAATAGGTATTTCGTGTGGTCCAGGAGGCCAAGTTTGGGCTGTAGGGAAAAATGGTTCCTCTTACTGGAGGCTAGGGATCACACCTTCAAAACCTGCAGGTACAAATACAATAACGTTATAGGTTGTAATTGGGTAACGTTAAGTCTCCACAGCCATCAAATTCGTTTAATTAACTCCCATACGTCGTCATTTAATTTGACAGGTGTGCAGTGGCAAAATGTTGAACCACCGGCAGGTGCTCATTTAAAACAAATTTCCGTGGGGAAAGATGTAGTGTGGGCGTTGGATACAACAGGTAGACTGTCTGTTCGCCGCGAAGTGCAAATGAACATTTTTCCAGAAGGAACACATTGGCAGACGCTTCCCGCGATGCCGAATGATCCCATTCATATAGGTACTTTTTAAATTTACCGTTATACGAACCAGCGTTTCCCAACTTTGTAGCAGAGATGAGCAAAGTAACTGATAAAACATAATTTCTTTATTCTTTACTCATAGAATAAACATTCCTTTAAATTATAGAATTTAAATATTTATTCCAATAGAAGTTTGCTCATCTTTGTCTTCCAGTACTCGGCAGGGTTGGGCAAATTTTATTTTGAACGACGAATAAACGTTGCATTTAAATGTTATTCAAAATAGAATTTATTCGAATAGAAACGTGTTCGAATAACGTCCAACTCTGGTATTATGTAATAATTTTAGTAACTTCCTCTAATGTAGTACGTCGCTTTAATTCTGGTGAAGTATTTCGCTAACCGTATTAGCAGCTCGATTAAACTCTGCACTAGTCTTTTTGTTCGTAGTTAGATAATGACTGAACGTAGCGAACGATTCGTATAGTTTTTGCGGTGTTGGTTATTTTCGTAGAGATACATCAGTTTTAATTCCTTTCTGAAAAAATTCCAGAGAAATGTAAGATGAAACCCCGAAAGGCTGTGTTTCTTGGAAAACTCTGCAGAATGCCCTTCAAAAGCTCTGCGTTGGGAAACGCTGATATAGACAACGCGTCTATTAATTTAGATACACTCTTTGACCCCTGTTACATAGGTATATTTTGGGAGACTATGATTCCGCCGTAGACAGTACACGTTCTATTTCATACGAGTTTTCCAGTAAAATTCATTATGAATTTACTGTAAGCTTGCGAAATGTTTTGATTATGTTTTGGCTGCATGCTTTGTTCTGTCCATTCTGAGTCTCGTTCTATCGTAAAATACCTTAACTCGTAATCAGTACGTAATCCATCCTTGTTTGTTTTAGATATGTCCGTTATAAATGCGAAGCAAGGTTTTCGACACGTTGCCGTTGCTAGGGAACAAGGTCAAGTATGGGCAGTTTCGGGGGCTGGAATACTTTGTCGCAGAATTGGTATTACCAACGAAAACCCAGCTGGAACTGGTTGGGTCACCGGTATAGGGGTGAGTTGATTCGCGTCACGGATTAATGTAACGTTAGATCACGTCTAATGTTACGATTACTTTTAACAGGCGAATTGGCAGTACGTGAGCGTAGGAGGACTTGTAAATAAAATGAAATGAAACGATTGAATTTTAAATCGGCGAAGGATTCTTGTAATAATAAGATACACGAAGTACTATTGTATTGCTACCATCTAGTAATGTAATATTCTAGCTTTTTATTTTCACCAAGAAATTTTTCACAAGTACGAGAAAATGAATGCATGTGCATGTAAGATATAGAAGTTTTCCATAATGGATATGGCATAGCTTTGCGAATAATTCAATTTTAAGCTTGACGTGTGACGTATCTAACAAACGAAAAAGACGTTATCCAAAACGTACAAACCATACCGATCATTGACTATGCGTGATATATTTGTACTTATTTTCCGGTACAATTTTATTTGACTTCTGTATGATAAGAAATATACGTACAGGTAGAAGAATTAATCTATACAAATTTGGTGATACATTTTTTTTTTCTTATAGTTTCGCCAACGAAACATTCCAAACCCATGCATTTGCATAACCACTGAATATATAATAATAACATAGAAATAGAAAATAGTATGAAATGTTAATTTCATTTTATAATGACATACCTTTGATACCTCAAAAAACCATAACTCGATCGTATTTACCACTCGCCTTGCCTGTGAACAAATTATTTTGTTTATTACCGTATAATGAAAAATTTTAGATTTTAGGATCAAAATAAAACTGCTAGAGCAAGTATTCAAGATTGAAATTACGATCGAGCAATCAATCGCGTATAAAATTTTATTCCAATACTTTCGATTTACTACGTGTTCCATCTTATAAATTCGATCAAAAACTATAGTTCTTCTAACGAACACGCCAAGTATTCCTATATGAATCTATTTTGTGTAGTGCCTGAAATGTATTGTCTCATATTTATTATTTGCAAGATCTTATTTTTGAAACGAAGAAAAGATATCGTAACATAGAAAAAGTTTATTTTTTCGAAACTATGGATATCGAGAACGTTTACGACAACTATAACATCGCTGTATTTAGGTAGTATTTTTAAAACGCTACTGCTAATGAATTTATTATAAATATTTGTTTTATCGATATTAAATGTTATTTTATTACGAATTATAAATATTAAACTTTATTTCGTTGAAAATGTATTTTTAACATTTCATTAAATTATGTAAACAAATAAATCTGATTTGATGTCACGAGTGCCATAATTATTATATTTAATACATATATATTTATATAAAATTTAATATATAATTATAATTATGACTAATTCTACGGCTATTCTTGATCAAGCTCAAGTGTATAATTACGAAAGATATAAATCCGTGGTCCGCGTGTATCGAGTCACCGCATGATAACGGTTTGGATCGCTCGATACCGTGAATGTGCGCGTGTGTATCTTTTTTGCAAACGACCGCGTCCTTTCTCTCGTCTCCGTACTCGAGGAACGATAGACGTTCGATTATGAAATCGTTACATCGTACGAACGATCGGTATCGTGGAACATTGCACGTGTCAAACAGAGACACGAGACACGGAGACGACGCTAGACGACGCTCTCGGAGGCACAGTCGGTGGAAGATCCAGCGGAGTCGTAAATCGAGACACGAAGAGGGGTGTACACCTTGAGCTGGCACAGTTGCGCGACACGAAAGAAAACTTTGATGTTTACATAAATTAATGCGTAGAACTATTATTGGATTTAGGTTTTCAATCTATATAAGTGTTTTACTGTATCTATGACCTCTGTTGTATATAAAATGTTATATGCATAATAGCGTGTTAACACGTTGAACGCCCATGTATGGATGACGGAGCTTTTCACTAAGGAACAATTAATTTTAAGAATTACGTGTTAATGAAAACAAATCTAGATATAATAGAATACAAAAATTAATACAACGAATGTTGGGCTCCATAGTTTGTATTCGTCTCGAAGCAAAATTTTAGTCCTGCAGACCTTTCCGCGCGAGTCGGTCTGACAGTCAACGCGTTAACTCGAAAAGGGCAGAACGTAGCGCGATTCGAAGCACGAACGACGGCTGAACGCCGCTCGTCTTGATCGACGATCGAGATCGATCACGGATCGGCTACCGTGCACGGAATGCGATGGGTTCGGTGCGAAAAAAATCGAATAAAAGGGTAAAATGTCAACGTGACTCGGTTCTACCTACGAAAGAGCAAACGCATCCTATTAGCGGTTCAGAGATCGCATTGTTCGCCGATGTGCCCTTAAACGAGCGAAATCTCATCCATCGTAACGACGTTGGCCTTTGAATCGCGTGCCAAACGGATGGCGATAAATCCAACCGTCCCCACGGTCGAGAGAAGAAAATAATCGCGAACGGATACGTATGAGAACTCGTACGCTCGCGCTTGCGGTCATGAGCAATTCATCGAATACGTCCAACACGCGACATCCACTGAGATACGCAACGATAAGACCCACTCGCGTCCCAGGATGGTGCGCTACGCGTTCCGTGGGACTTCTATTATATCCAATTATATCTTGCCGTGCGATCGGACAGAATCAAGTTCGTAGACACCGACCCCCTCTTGTCGTGTTGACACGGCGATCGTGAAAAACTGACAGAAATGTTAATTCGTTGCGTCGAGTGGCCTGTTACGGCTGGTGTTCAGGCCACGTCGATGTCTACATTATCTTTCAGCGTCTCGATCGTTTTATTACAGTCGGTAGAGACACGAGGTTCTTTCTGAAAACAGAGACATACGATGTAGTCGATTCATCTCGTAATTGTTCGCTAAGCGTAAGAATTCTGAGAGGAAACGAAGATTAACTACTCTCGGTACCGTAATCCTCTTCAATCTCGTTTCTGAAAATTCTGAGGATCCTTCTCGAAATTTCTAAAGGTTACTTGGAACGATATCTAGGATTGCAAACTCTCATGCAGTAAGTACTAACAAATTAATAAACTTGTAAATCTCGAAGAACTTCTGATTGTCGAAGACGTCCATTAATGTCTCTCAATTGTTCTAGACTGGAGGTGCTTAGCCTTTGCGCGACGGTGATCGCCGAGAGAGGATCATCTGAAAGAAAAAAAAATATATGAGTTACGGGAGCGTTCGCGATGTCGTCCCGATCCCTTGCGATCCTGAGTATCTATGACACCAGAGGGAGGGGAAAAAACAATCGTCGTTGCAGGTAGCGGACGGTATATAAAAGCTCGACGAGCGAACGAGCGCAGATGTTGGTTAGCGACTTCTGAAATCCATCGGTTGCGTCGCGAGTCGTACAGTCGCGTGTGCCACGAGGGATGCCATTTCGAGTGCCGTCAGCGTGACCTTACCTCTGGCGACGATGATCTCTCGCAGAATTGTGCCTCGATCGCTGGTACGTTCCTGGAAAACGAATCAGGACGATTATATACGACAGGGAATAGTAGGGAAACTCGAGTGGTATGGGAACAGATACCTTCGAGGGTAGAAATGTGTTTTTCGCCTCGCACAGCTTACGCGCGATGGGTCCTGCACGTGTTCAATAGTGGAAGTATACAAAGACGGTATACTAAGTTCATCCCTTGGATTCAGGCTCTCGACGGCATTCGGTTGTGCTTTCGTTCTCGCTCCTGCTATTTTTATGGCGCCCCGCTGTATGTGGAACCTAGTAAAACTCAAATGGAAAGTGAATAGGCTTTACAATACTGGGAACAATTAAACCCTTTGCATTCGAGAGGTGATTCTCAGCCACCACTAGGTTTTCTTTAGGTTTCATATCTTTGGAACTCGAAGTGTCGATAAAATGATTGTCGTTGAGGCAAAGGTGACCTGATTCTCAAATCTCAAAGTAAGCTTAGCATTCGCGACAATAGAATGGTAAGAAAGCATCTCGAGTTGCAAAGGGTTAACATTCTTTTTGTATTTTTCTTTGTACCTTTGCGGGAATAATATCACTCCAGTTCTTCTCCACGAAAATAAGTCCAGACAGGCCCTCGTTAGAATTGTCTTCAATTACAATTTATCCGAATCATTTATAAAAAGAGAAACCCTGCAATTGTGTACAATTAAGAGCCTGAACAGGACTATGTTCGTGGTTATTTTCATAGAGACAATTTCCACGAAGATACAACGAAAAATGTACAAGTTCTTAGTTTACGATAGTAAATATACGAGTGTCAGTTACTATCAACCCGATACATGCGACGTGTACGTAATAACTTCTCATCAAATTGCGTAAGTAGGATCGCCACTTATCGGTCATCGAGCGACCTGTTCCGCAGGATCCCTTACTTCGCCAAGTTCGGATAAAGGAGGAATGTAACGCGCGTCGATTTAACGATGCTCGAGGTGATTTCGCGTGGACACGGAGGATGAATAAAGTAGAAAGTATCCATTTGATTCGGTCGCGCGGACCAACGGACAGGTGGTAACGCGGAAAGATTGCTAGTCGAGAGGTCACCGAGCGTCGAAAGAAACCACCTCGGGCTAGCAGGTTCTTCGACAGTGTCGGGAGAGTTACGTATACGCGAACGTCTGCATAAATCAGACATAACGGCGATGGGATGCGCGTACAGTCGCTTGTAAATATGCTCGCGACATTATCGCGAGACAACCATGGAGAACCATCCTCGGAAAACACGCCGCGTTCGTATCTCGTATTCCATTCTCATTGATGCCGATTGGATCGTTTCGTAAGTAACGTGTAATTCGATGCATCGACTTGAACTTAGAGTTCAGAGAGAACTTAACCAGTAACGCAACAATGTCTCGGGATTTTATTATTTATATCTCTTCATCTCGAGCAATCGACTGGATGAACTTAAAGCAATGCCTCGAGTTGCACGCGCAACCCTCTGATCGTTTCGCGCCCCGTTTCCTCAGATCCTCTGGCTGCTGGTACTTTCCGTGTGCTGTTGCATCGGTGAGAAATTGTCTCCGGATCAGAAGGCGCCTCTGTTCGCTCGTGGCTCGGGGGGGTTGATCCTGAACACGCCGTTCGAGGACAACAAAGCCAGGAAAAGTCCAGTGGCGAGCGCAAACGTTAACGTGAACGCGAACGCGGAGGACGGAGTGCAGAGAGAGGAAACAGAGATGCTGAAAGAAGTGGACGGTGAACTGGTGCGAACTGTGAAGGGAAGCTTCTCTTACAACAGCCCCGAGGGTCTTCCGATTTCCGTAAAGTGAGTCCCAGGCTTTTGCTATCGCTGCGTGTTGAAAACGGGTTGTTGGATTTTGATGTGTCTTGAAGGTATGAGGCCGACGAGAACGGGAACAGAGCCAGTTTCAAGTTTGGCACTGGCGGAGGGACTGGTTCGGGGACTTCGGGTCGTCCCTCGGGCCCGAAAGGAGGAAACGCCGGTAATCGCGGAGGTCAAACCGGTCAAGGACCTAAAAAAGGATCGAAGAGCGACTCGTATCTGCCGCCGAAGGATGTCGACAGAAGCTATCTTCCGCCGCAATAGGATTGTCTATTCCATTCAAGCGAGTTCTCGATTATCAGTCGTTTTGGAGAATCGTACTCGCTGAACTCGTACCGAACTTCTCCATCGACTGGCGGCCGACATTGTAAACCTTTCTCTCCGTCACTCCCGCACGCCTGCCAAAGCTTTCGAAGCGCTTCGACGATTCGCTCGAAAGTAATTTTACTCGTGAATTAATTCGTTAGTAAACGCCTCGACGCAATGACTTTTATAACATAAGAAATAAAATATATTTTTTCACAGACGATCGCATCAACTCCCCAGTTTCGAGATTCCATCGTCGAGCTATTACACTTTATCGTTATTTAAATTTCGCAGCTTTCGGTCGATACAAAATTCGTGAAATCGTAATAACGAGCTCGGTTCCTGTAGATCGTACGATTATAAAAAATGTTTATTTTTAAGAATCTTGATATCTTTACAATTAAAACAACGTTACTTCGATTTCCTAAATTGTCTGGCAAATAACGAGCATCCGTTAGCGTTCATCTCTCGGAACCGCGATACGTTGTGTAGCCGAACGGACTCAACAGCACTGGTATGTGGTAGTGACCAGCAGGGTTCCTTACGTCGAACACGATCTCGATGAAAGGATACATCGTTTCTATTCTTCTCAGCGTAAAATATTTATCGACGTCAAAGTGAATCTTGTAACGTCCCGTCGTGAAATTAACTTTCATGTTATCCACCAAGTCTACGCATCGACCGTTTGGACTCGTGTTGCTGCAAAAACGAAACGAATTGTTTTCATCGGAAGACATTTGTCGATAAGAATTCCGGGTTTAACGGTGGTATACCTTTCATTTAAAAATGTCCATCGTCCGTCCATTAACTTGTATAGGCTCACTTGCAGCCCTCCAACCGGCAAACCTTTACTTGTATCCAGGACATGAGTAGAAATACGAGGCTTTTTACCAGATGGAGATTTAACCGACTTCAAAAGCACATGCTGAAACAACCGTGCTCCTTGAGAACTCATAAACAGTAGCGAGATATCCGAGATACCATATATACTTAGTTATCATCGATATACCTTTTTTGGAGATTGATAGCTGGTACTAGCTACAGCGAGCTGATCCTTGTTCGATTGAACGTCTTTCGCGGTGTCCTCTTGTTGGACAGCTGTAATTACAGGTTTCCTACCAGCCATTACCAACGTAGGGAGTTTACCCTTTAATTTACTCAGAACATATTGGGCACCAGGTTGAAATGTACCACCTGTTAAAGTCAAAGTTTTGCCACCCGACGTTAGAGTAATCGTTTTACTCTGTGCGGGTGCAATGGGAATCGTATTTACGGGTTGAAGCACACCGATCGTATTCGAAGCGGGTGCGACTGAAGTATTTATTTGATAAGCCGTACTTAGAACAGGCAATGGGCAAGCCATCACTAACTCGGCGTCTCCTTGTTTCACGTTTTGCTGAAACGACGTTGTCAAATGTGATTTAAATTGCTCCGTTTGATCAATCGTGATATGCTACATTACAGATCGTATAAAAAGTTACCAATAATTTTGCAGACTTTCTGTCCGCTTTAGTTTCGCCTCGTCGAATCGCTCTTCCATTCTCACGCGATTCCTTCTGCGATTCCTTGTGAGAATCTTCAGCTTCGGGAAGAATGGACATAACTTGGATGTCCGTGTTACATTGAGATTCGGATTCTACTACCATTTCCATCTGCACAGCCCCTTGATTGTCAGATTCTTCTAAATATTCGCTCTGCATGTGGTCCATTGCTTCGGCCAAAGTATCCCCGCAATCTTCCTAATAAATCCAGGGATAAACATTACAACAACCAACCAAGATATACTATAAAATAAAAAACAAATCCTACCAGCCTCTCTATTTTAATCTTTTTCATACTATGTTTAACATCGTCGTCATCCAAAGTCATTTGTAAATGTTTCGTATCTTCGTCTTCCTCTTCCTCTTCTTCCTCCTCCTCCTCTTCTTCTTCTTCTTCGACATCGCCATCGTCGTCTTCAGGCGAGTCTTTGATTTGCGTTTCGTCCAATTCGTCGTCCGTTTCTAATCTTTCGACGACATACTCGACGTCGTCTTCGTTTTCTTCTATTTCCGCTTGTACATGTTCTATAGTCTGGTGAAAACATACTTCGATTCAATTTTCCCAGGTATTTCATTAATAAAATAATATAAAAGATATAATAAATAATAACCTCTATCTCTTCAACCTCTTCTACTTCAGCTTCTCCTTCGGGATGCACTTTCAGAGCAGCTGTCTTTTTCTTCTCCTCTGCCTCGTGTAGCAAAGCAGCACGTTGATGCTTCATCGTGCAAGTGTGTTTCAATAAGGAAAGTCTGTGAGCATGAAGATTCTTTTTGCAATACAAGCAATAAGCACGTGTGGGTTGAAATGGCACATGTGTCAACCATCCTGGAAAAAATATATTGTGTTAGACATAGTTTTGGTAGACGTATAATATATGTTTATGTGCAATAATTGGTATTTTTTTATTTTTCTTGTTTCACTCTATGAAATATGGGGATCTCTTTCAATTTCAGATAGTATTGTTTTTTGTCTTCTGCATAACATTTTTGATTAATTAGATTCATTTTGCATGCTTCTATAATATTAGAATAGTATATTTACTGTTATTTAAAAATTGTGCAATTTTAATATAGGATCTATCTCCTTTCATTATCACAGAAATTAATGGCATAACAAATATTTTACATTGTATGGGTTTAGCAATCCCGAGGTACCCCAGCTATAGAAAGATCAGTGGGCCCCAATGGGAGAGTTATAAAAAAAGGGTATCCAAGTAAATACAAATGCAAACAAGCTTAAAGCAAGAATTAAATGAACATAAAGAATGAACTAAATCCAAGACTGCTATATATATAAATTAGGTGTTATAGTCAAGCTAAAATTTACTTATTTACTTTACGTTGCCTTAAAGGAATCTTACATTATAACATCCTATAAACATTTGCTAAGAATTTTTTACAACTTCTGAAATCTTTCGATTTTAACAACTTAAATCGCTTTACACCATATATACTTAGTTATCATAACTAGTTACAACTTTATCGCTTTTAACAATGTAAATCGCTCATACATTATTTAATTTTTGTGAAATGTGTACATTTTACTTAATCGCGTACAAATATGCAAAAAGCATTCTACCTTATGCAAACTATATCGCGTCCATTCGAACAATAAACGTGAATGAACGTACTTCTGATCGTATATTTTCATTCGGCTGTGAATAAATATTTCATTCGCAATTTCGCGCGCGCTATTCTCTCCTCTCTCGAGGAATTCGGGCCCAACGCGGCATATCACCAAACGCATTTCAACCATATGGTGATATCTACGCGAAAGACAGTCGAATTACCCAGCGGTAGATTTACTGGTAACTTATTAACGCTAGTAATATGGCTAGGCATGTAACAACAGCGTACGGTACTTCAGTAGTGTCGTATCGTGTGTTGAACGTGGTAGATCGCTGCTCCGTAATTTTTTTTTTCTACGGGAAAAATCATTGACGTTTGTTCGTACGTAAACAATACGGTCAGGAGGAATCGTTGAAAAGGTTCTCGTATACGAGTTTCGTGCGAACAGAGGGGCAAGGATACGTGGCAACGCGCATTCGTGAAAAGGGATGGAACGGAAAAAGTACCGTGCTCGACGAAAAATGTTCGAAAGAGTAGAGGATTGTTATTGATCATCGGATATGTAACGAGATGGAAAAGGGTCATCGTCGCGGCGTTCTCTCTAAAAATAATTAACTCGTGAGGATCGGAAGCATCGTTAAGGCCATGACGACTCGCAGCTAGACAATTGTAGTATATGTATATAGGCATATCCAGCGTGGCACGATACTCGGAACAATGCGTTACCAACGTCGACGGGACGAGGTACATCTCGTGACTCGTGATTATTTTTGGAGCAGCGATCGAACGGTAACGGAATGATACCTTTGAAGTCGGACATCTGTTCCCATTCTTTCCGATATCGCTGCGTGTAGACGCGCGTCTTAGCATGGCTGATTTTCCCTGTCGGAGTAAGACGCTGGCCCGTCGGCGTTAGAAAATTCAATACCGTATCGCTGCTCGTAACCATCGTCGAATGCCTCTTCTTCTCCATTACTTCGTAACGTGGGGCTGATTCGAAATCGCCCGGATCTCAAAATACCCAAAATCGTAACACGAAATCACTAAATAGTTTTTTCCACGATGAAATAGGGAGGGGGCACGGCGGCGAGAAACGAGACCCTCGCCTGGCCTAGTACCGAAGTTAACTCCCTAGCAATGGCGGACAACTGCAACGCTGCAACTGATGCGTACCTCCCCCCTAACCTTCCCCACTATTTTAACTAACCGAACGACAATGACGTACCAACGTTTACGGCGCCCTGCTTTTACATACGCGAATACGCAGCTATCGAACCATAAGTTTAAACAAATTCTCCACGTTCCTCGTGGAATATTACCACCATTTAATACATACGCGTGAGATTCAAACAATTTGTTAAGATTGCAATCTTAACATTACCGGTCCGTTCGTCGAGAAAATTCGCGTAATTTAAAATCTATTTCGGACTCTTATTTCGGTTCATTGGCCAGTATAAATTAATTTAGTATTCAATTTCTGAGGAACTCGATTGAAAATCATTTTATTTCCTTCTAATACAATTGCGTAAGATTCGCAATCTATGTATCACTTGTTTGACGACTGTATACGATACTGTTCTTGGATAGGATATACGTAATAATTAGTCGAATCGATATGCGTGCGCATACTAACGGATGTTCCGTATTAAGCGGGAAAGATATTAATTGTTTGTGTTCAGAAAAAGTATCTACCGTTTTATCTTTAAAGTGGAACAGAAAATATTTCTTATATATTTGCTACGTACCCTGTATGTTTTCGAATTAAAATATTTCAGATACAAATGATAAACGATTTTCCGTTGTACCCGCTGTGTAAAATTTTGAGCGCCACCTAAACGACCTTGAATTAGCGAATCAATAGTAGCGCGCTCTTTGCGAAAGAATCGCGAATTAAGTATATCTAAATTAGGGGAAACCTTCGAAATAATATCAATTACGAAACTTCTGAAAACTTGTAGAAAAATAAACGTGAATTTGCAGTTGCCTTCTGACTCCATTATTATATCTATACATAAAAAGTTTACTTCTTCAACGGAATTACAATTTAATACACCGTAATATACTTAATTCCTATTCAAAGTTAATTCGTTACAGCATATTTATGGGTCGCATTAATTTCACATACTTATAATTATGCTTTCGTATCCTATAAATCCTAATTTCTTGTTCATTCAAAAGACAAACTATTGTTTCTAGATTTTTGTTAGGGAAGAATATTTCACTGTTTATAGTCGTATTCATTGGATGTATCCGGAAAGGTTACCGCTCATTAAGCTGCTCAGTGAGCGAATTTCAGAACCAGTGGCGCCATCGGTGGGAAAACGCCCAATTTTGTAGCGGAAATAGTTTCCACCGTTACTACTAGATGGCGCCACCAATTTCTTTAATGGTTTTTTTTCTTTTATTTTTCAAAAATACATAATTAACACATTTCTTGGCTTTATGCCTCTGTAATACATTAGTTTAGATATCAAATGTATTCTTTGTATGAATTGTTATTTCATTCAGCAATAATTATCGACCATTTTGTTAGTGGCACCATCTAGCGACAACAAGGGGAACTATTTTCTCTACAAACTTGGGAGTTTTCCCACCGATGGCGCCACTAGTATCCCGCTCACTGAGCGGCATTCTGTTTAGAAGCTCTCCCAGAGAACTGAGAAGTCAACACAGAATAATATTATTGTAAAAAATATGTAAAACTGTAACAATATTATATCATATACGGCAGTGATGTAAATGTTCTGTATGAATATCTTGCACGATTTTCTTTTAATTAAGTACCTATTAGTATTATTTAATTATAATTAATCTAGCAAAAATATGATGATTATAGCTAAAATATTATAGCTATTTGTATAACAGATATTCTACAATATTATACAATAGATAATATCCATTCTCTCTTATCATGTTCAACAAGTTGTTTTGTTTTTAAACAATGGAACAGATCAGATATAGGGTAGAAGCTTATATTGTGCCTGTGAGCAACAATTACCGTACCACTTCTGTCACAAGTGAATCAGAGGATGCAAAAACAAACTTGAATATAATTAATAATTCATCTATTAATATTAATGAAACTGAATCGAAGTGTACCGAAAATTATAAAAATGATTTGCTTTCCATGGAAGAAGAGAGCATGCAAAATGTGAAAAATTGTCTACCACTTGAGAAGTTTGTTACAACAAACTATATAGATGTGAATAAAACTAACAAAAGCAATTCTGATACATTTTGTTCTCTTAAGAGTTCCAAGTACAAGAAATTATACGATGTACAGGATGCATGTTTTCCTTCATCTATGATCAACAATGTTCACACCAATCAATTAACAAAGTTGACACCAATTGATGAGAAAACCGAAGAGTTTGAAGAAAAAGTTACGGATCTCTGTTACCATGGCTGTAAGAATGGATGTTCGGCATCTGTGCCAACACCACAAGAAGTTAGCGAAGAAGTATTTAAAGGAAACTGGTTAGAAAAGTTGAAAGATATAAACGAAAGGGAAGCTTCATTGAGAAATAAGGAAGTGATGTTACAAAATCGAGAGAGAGCATTGTTAAGAAAGGAAAGGGAAATAAAAATCTTGGAGCATCGATTAAAAGGTAAATTGAAGCATGCAGATTTTTATCTTAAAGAAAACAAATGCCTGCAAGATTTATTGAAGATACACAATTCACAGAAAAATACTTTACAATCCTTAGTTAATGTTGAACCAACAACAAAGCCTGCAGAATTCCAAACAAATGGTAATCCCATAGAGAAATCTGATAATATAGATATCAACAAATTTAGTTCATACACAAAAAATGTTTGTATGCAAAATACATATACTACTCAAATTGAACAATTATATAAGGACATAAATAACATAGAGATAACAAATATAGATCTGCAACAAGAAAAATCAAGCATTGGGAGTTCTTGTTCATCTGATAACAGTACATCAGAAGGAAAACAACTAAAGCAAGAATCGAATTTAAAATGTTCTATAATTTCAAAACCAACTTGTTGCAAAGTTGTTTCTAACAACAGTAACACAGCAACGAAATTTTGTAAATCATATTACGATGATTTGGATAGCACGTTGTCCGCTGATATAGGAGATTCGTCTTTCGTTCAAACCTCGCAAAAATTTAATCCTAACGTATATAAACGACCGTATGCGTTCAGAAGATCGGCGAGTGAACGTCGCGGAAAGTATGCAAGCAAAGGAAGCAGTATTAATCTCGAGGTTCAAAATGTTGATGCTCCTAAAGAAAAAATTGAAATGCCTATCGGAATTGAACAGGATAAAGTATTAGAAAGAGTTGCTAAAAATATTGTTGCTTCACAAGATAAAGGTACAAAATTTCAACACTATGGCCTCATAGATCTCAACGTTGATACTACAAATAAGGCATACAAGGTGGAAGATGAAAAGAAGTATTCGTATCTTAATTTAGAAACAAGTAATAAGCTATGTTTGCATCAGAAAGCAACTAAAGGCTCAAAAGATAGACCAATATCTTGGAACGAGGAATCGAACCACTGGTTGCAGAAAAAACGAAAAGCTTATAACATGACAATGAAAAAAGTATCGCCCGAAGATATTGAGGATAAAGAAAACCTTAGGTGTGGCATCAAACCTAACAAGTCTGAAAAAGTGATAAAGAAAATAGATATTAGAAATAAAATACTCACTATATTTCGTTGATTTAACAATAATACTATGCGGAATAGAAAAATAAAATCAATGAAATATTATAATTACATGTAATAGTTACACATGAGAAATATATTTGTATTGAAATTACTACAATGTATTTGTACAAATAAAATTGTATTTTCTTATTACCTTAAGAATAAATTCATAATTTAAGTAATTAAATGGAAACGGTTTATTTCTTAATGTAAATTACATGTGTATAATCAACATACTAACAAATTTTTGTATACAGGTGCACTAATATATTAAACTTAAATTACGGCCAAGATGGAGCCTCTCCAGGTTTCAATTCTCTCCCGAACAGAGCAGATTTATCCCGATAATGGGACCACCTTTCCCCCTCCATACGATTGTAAGAAAATCCAAGTGTGCCAGCTACTGCTATACCTGCTATATATTGAGCATACGCTTTTATAAGTAATCGTCTTGTTGCTGCTGACATTGTAATTGTACTATAATTTTGCTTCTTTGGCGAATTCTTTCTTCCACTTTTGAGTATGATTCCAATCCGCATAAATGGCAGCTGTGACAAGCGTAGGTAAGGTAACCACTACCCAGTATTTTCTGACCAGACTTGAAACTTTTGATTTACCCATCAAACTGAAAGAACAAAGTCATTGGAATTTTCATTTCAACATTTGTTTGTGCAATTTATGGTCTTTAATGTTATATAGATTTTTATATAATACATTATTTCACATAATAAGCACAACTCAATGGAAATAGAGAAATAGAGGAAAATAATAAAAGCAATTAAATGTAAGAGATATTGTCGAGACTTCGATGGATTTGATTTACTTCCAAAAATTAAATCACGAAAATGGAGTGGTTATGAAAGCTAAACGTCCGGAATCTGTATAAATTTCGAGGAACAGATGGCAATTCTAAATAAAAAGAAAACGCATTAAATTATAATCATTGTTGAACACTATGCAATAAGAGTGAACAGGTTTGCTGTGACAAACCTTTAATTTAAAGCATGCAAGTCTGCTTCTCGAGGATGCGTAACAATAGTCCATCGACTGCACGCCACATTATGACGTAATAGTGAGTATAGTGAAGATGAAAGAGTACGATCTACAACTCCAGTCAAGTTTGTACACAACAAAAATATAATAAAAATACAATTTGAGTAACTAAAATAATTCATCAAAAAACAATTGCTTTTACGTTAAAAACCGATAATCGACACGATTTCATTTGGATTTACGCGTTTGATATGTTGCTCTCCGAGAAAATAATAAAAAAACCTCGATAATATTTTGAGTATTTTATTATAAGTGTACAGTTATCTTTATAGTTGACTAAAATGTGTACTATAATAGTATCTTGTCTACGTTCAAATATTATACTTAAACAAAACAAATATTTCGTGAAGTACGAAAGTCGAAAATTAATTTCGAAAATATGACACATTTCGTTTTTTTTTTTATTATGATTATAAAATTCATTTCACTAACAATGAAATAACTAATTCGAAAAGAAGTATACAGGTAACTACGTAGTAGTTGGTCGATTTTTATGTTGAAAAAGATTGAAAGATAAAATAAAATTAAGTATTGTGTTTATTCATTTCTGATTGTAAAGCGACACCATGTCTTACACATTAAAATGATATTTAATTAAATAATAATAATAATATTGTTCTTTGAATTTTGAACACTGCTTGTATTTATTTATTATGTACAATATTTCGTGTACGTGGTACTATAAACACATTACTATAGCAAGAACTCTTAAGGCAAACAAAATTTCTCGAATAACTAGGAAATTTAATTCACAAAATTCCCCTTTAAAAAACTATACACATATTAACCAAAGCATACACCACATTAAGTTCAGGACCCTGCAATTTAATACTATATCTTTTTGGAAGATCATTTTGAAAGACTATTAACGTTATTTATTCTTATAGAATTTTCTTACTGGAATGCAAATAAAGTTATTCATTGAAATACTTCGATTACATTACGTGTGTATACATTGGCTGAATATTATCATCAACGTAATAAAAATACATAATTTTTCTTTCTTGTTTGTATCGCATCGTTGTACGAGCATACATTTAATGAAACAATAGGCACTGCATATAAGTACCTTTGCCTTATCGAACGAAGAAGCAAAAGCACCAGTTCTTTATGAAATATCATTAATGGTGATTTTTCTTTAAGGAGCCTCGTATCGATATCGTTAAAAACATTACAATATATATATGTATAACGGTATTATATACATATATATATAACGGTATGTAGTACTTGTGTGAAACCAAATATAGAGCGATCAAGCGAGAGTTCGATCAATCTCGGCTACTATTGGCTCCTGCTTTATACAAACTGTACTTTTGTCTAGTTCATCATGCAAAACGCCAAACACTCGACAGAAAAAAAAAATATGTATGACTGTCAAATTTTTATGTCGATTAACGTACAAATAACAATTTGAATAAACCATCGATAACAATTATCATCGAGAATGTTTGGAAAATTGTATTTCACAAAGATGTAATACCTACAATCGAAACGTTGGCAGCCTGAGAACTTATGCAAATATATCAATTAATACACTAAACATAGTTGAGCGTCAATTAGTTTTTTTCTCTTACGTTTTCATTCCGTATTTATAACCTACCGTAAAGTGTAGTTGCTCAGGCGCCAACGCAATGAAGCACAATTAATGTGATCTAATGAAAATATAAGGACGTAATATATACTCTGATCATTCGTACAAATTTATACTGATATGATTTCCTTTGTTCTATTGCAATGCCGTACTTAAGAAATAGCGTTTCATTTGGCATCTGTTGGTGGTAATACAGCTTCCGATGATGCGTTGTCTAAACTACAAGAGATTTTGTATTCGTTCGAGGACTTTTCATTTTGTACCGTAGTAGTTTCAAGCTCCACGTTCATTATGTTATCTCCGCACGTAGTTTCGCTAAAACATGTAACACACGTTACATTACATTACAGTTTCAATTGCAAGATAGTATAATATGTATATAAATGTTGTTATGTAGATTTAGTTACCTGGTATCTGAAATTTCACTTGGATTTGCATTTTTATCAGGGGTACAAACAGGAAACGAACTATCTTCGATGATTTTATGATTCACATTCGTTTCTGTGTCTAAAGGAGTACTGTCAACAGACTCTTCGACTTTTACATCACCTGCTCCGATAGTGGCTTCCGCCGTTACTTTATTTTCTACTACATCTTCCGTTTTGTTTAGATCCGCCGATGTATCTGGTGTCTCTTTTTTAATATCATCACACAATTTGTTATCTATTATCACATTCTCTACACTGAGAGTGTTTTCAAAATTATCAAAATTTGCCCAACCAGTAGGTTCAACTGTTTCTGAAGGTGCACTGTCCCATGGATTCACTTCGGGAAGCGTATTATTACCAGTCGATAGTGGTTCAGTTGTATTCCATCCTAATGCAATAAATGTTAACATAGCGTTATTACAAAACCGGTAACTATTAATCTGTTTCATGCAAGAACGAAGAAACATTTTCAAATTATAAAACCTTCGTCATCCTCGTCGAATGAATTGGAATCGTTATGTTGTTGTTTCGTGGGCCAGTCTTCTTTATCTACCACAGTCTGATAAGTAAGTTCGTCACCCCATTCTCCTACTGCGCTACAGTCTTCCAAGCCAACGTTTTGTTTCTCCTGACAAATCTGTAATTACTCATATTTTTACGTATCTCAAATATTTCAAGTATTAAATTTTTACCGAAACTATTATGTACCTTTTTGAACATATCTTCTCTCTCTTCGTGATTTTCTTCGCTGAGTGTGAAGGCCAATGTTGTTAATTGGTCAACCGAATTACTATAATAGTATTTTTGTAAAAAGGTGGTGCTACGTTATAGTCTTTAACTCTGCTAATTTTTATCTCGATATTTTACAATAATAAATACTAAGTTACTTACTGAAGATCACCTTCGCTTTTATTGAATTCGTCGTCGTCGAATCCAAAATTTCCAACAAATTGCGGTCCCATGTGTTGTTTCAGGTAATTAGCGTAATACTAGTCATGTTACGCAATATTATGTAAAATAATAACTTATTATAATTAATCGATAAAATTCGTTCATTTGTAACACCTTATTACATGTTTTTATACAAAGTTTTTCATAAATACGTAATATAGTACTAACTTGCTCGCTTCGATTAAATTCTTCTTCGGGATTAGAACTATAATCGTCTGGATTTTCACTGGAATTATTTTTGAATGGTTGAGCCTCTCCGCTCTAAAAATTCATATTATGAGTGTAATTTACCCGATATTATAAAGTTGTGATTTTAAGTAAATCAAAATTGATTATTGTAGAAATTTAAACGCACCAACACAACTTGATTAGTTTTATTAATTATTACCAATGATACATTCACAAATTTGTTCCATTCGTAGAGGCACTTAGGGGGTAAGTTAGCCTTTAAAAAGTTATCTAAATCTTCGCTCTTTTTACATTGGTTAACAATGTTATTTGCAATATTTATCAAATGACCCATGTATCCCTGTCTGGTTTCTCCATAGATTGAATGCCTAAAATGTAAAAGTGCCATCAAATAAATAGTGTCATACAATTTAACAATTACGATTCAGACTTAACATACCGTTCAGCATCATATTCGGCATACGCTTTTAAAATTCGATCTATTAATTTGCACTCGATAAATATCTGAAAATAAATTTAATTACATTAAATGAATAAATGCGGACTTCTGCTTTTGTTGAACGAAGGATACTTACATTATTATAAATAATGTCATTTGTATACTTAAAATCACAATTAACAGCTAAAGCCAGGCACAATTGTACTTGAGTATGTAGGAAATTGTTCCACACATATGTAAAAAATAAATCCTTAAGAAACATGAAAGAAAGCACATCTCTTTAGGTAATATATTTCTTTAATATGTTCGAGTATTATATATCTTATTTACCAGTAGTGTTTGGAATGTTCCTAATTCTACTAAGGTCTCATAAATTTTTACATTTTCCACTGTCATCAGTGCTGTGAATAACTTTGCTACATGTATACGTGTATTGCCTAATGGACATTCTAACACTCCAACAGTTTGTTTAATGGGGGGTTTCTGCAATATGAAATATTATATGTAGAACAATGTTTTTTTTTTTTTAATACAATTTATTTGCGATACTTACGTAAGGTGGATCTAATAGGAGTTTGTGAAGTCGTTCTAAATAAGGCAGGGTTGCATTTGAAATTTTCATACGCTGTTCATTATCTGTGACTTCCTCGCCGATACCATTGCCGTGAATATCTCCTTCGTTTAACGCGCTAAAGACACAAATATTGTTTTACTAATATATCGTTCTTTTTTTTTGTAAGATATCAAAAGATTTTTTAAATAGTTTATATTCTTACTTGTTAGCTTTTTTGCCTAAAAGTGTGAGAAGTACTTGAATTCCTCCAACAATACTACTTTCTAATTTTTCTCCATTTAAGATAGTTTCTAACAACAGACTCACTGTTTCTTCTCTGTGAAAGAAATACGAACTTTAAAATAGAAAATTATAAATTTCTTAAATATCTTGCAAGTAACAATTGTATAATTTATCATTTGGATTGCATTGTTCTTTCTTGTACTTACGATTCAAGGGTATTTAAAATAGGATCTGAATCAGTTTGTTTTGCAGATGTACGTTGATTTTCTCGTGTCTCAATAATCATATCACAAAGTAACTGTGCAGCATTTGCATGTTTACTTGATTCAGAGCTAGGGGATAATAACTGTACCAACCTTTGCACTAACTGTTGACTATTTAACCACTGTTAAAAAAAATATGTACATCAAATTTCAAACTAAACAATATAACCAACTGTATTAGTTGTGTGAATAAATTTGGGCTCATTAAATTATCGCAAATTCTGCTCTATTATAGGTTGAAAGGACTTTAAAACTACAACTTCTTACGTTTAATATATTTTGTCGCGTATCACTGCCTTCAACCCGAGTAACAAGTTTCAGTATTAAATCCATAATCGCAGAGGTTTCCAAGTGTCGCAAAAGCAAATCAACACACGTAAAACGACTTTTCAAAAATTCTAAAACCTGCAAACAAGTGAACTGATACGAATACCAGTTCTATCAAAAAAATGAAAATGTAGGATTTACAGACCAGTTATAATAATGTAATTATGCTCTATTACAAATATAAATTACTGTTTAATGCTACAGTTTTTGTTATAAATACTAGTATTAAATTCTGATAAACTTATAAGATTCGCTTATAATCACCTGATCAGTTTTACGAGTAACAAGTACACCGATAGTCTTACTAAAAAATGATGCCAACAGAGGATTTAATGGTTGGTCCGTTTCGATAAAGGAATAAAGTTTAGCCAAAAGTGTCTCATCTCCTAAAATATAACTAATTTTAATTTTTTTTTTTATAGATCTTAAATTACAGCTATTAAAAAGCTCCATGTACACATCTAAAAGCTTTTGTAACCCATTAACATTAACATTAAATAATAATTTTACTAAGATGTATATATTAGATGATCTGTATACCTGCTAATTTCTCGTTTAAAGTTGGTACATCACATGTTAATAGTTCGCAAGCTATATTCGGATATTTGTAACGCCAACGTTCCACTATGTCTGTTGATGGTTCTTTAGTTGTAAGTAGTATCAACTCTTCCATTACATCAGATCTTGTTAGACTACATGCAAATATCATATTAGAACTACTTAGTGTTTGTAAGAATACATTTTAATCTTACTTACTAATCGATAAGTTTCTTGTTTAGGCTTCTACATTCTTGCAAAATATCTCCTTCGTCCATCAACTCGTGCAACGTAATATCCTAAAATTATAAACAGAATATTTATCAAACTGAACAAAATATAGGTTATTCAAAAACTTTTTGCATCAAACTTTGTAACATTTTAAAAATACAAAGAATCTCTTTAAATAATAACTAATACTACATCTTCTTTAAATATTTCTCCGAGCTGAGCAGTTTTCTCAAAATGTCTTGGTTAATGAACGAAACTGAAGTTATGCAAAACCAAGGAATGAGAGCTGTCCAAAAAAAAAAAAGAAGAAAAATATATCATTCTAATCTCGTTGAAACGACGTTACGACGAAATAGGTAGGTCGAACGACGAAGAATATTTCGAGTTGGATTCGTTGGTGATTCGCGAAATTCGTAAACGATAGAAGAAACAGAATAACATTTCCATTCGTCGAGGTACGATTTTCCTTACCTCCTTGTTGAGGAGTGCCTCGATATGAGGCGATGACACGTAATTATTTGCCCAAAACATGTTGCGATCGCGTATCACGCCTTTGCTCGACTACGATACGTTTAATCGGACGCAAAAATAATCACAACATTGAAGTGGTGGCCACTAAAAAAATAACGTAACGCTTCGCGAGAGGGAGAGCCAGGGAGAGCCAACTAACATTGCATGGGCGCGTATTAGAACGATGATGATGCCGTGAAATAATTGCAGCGACGATCGTCGTTACTGCGAAAGTTAAAGGTCACCGAACGAAACCTATATTTTCTTTCTCTGGCGTGGATCTGCTTTGAAAATGTCACTTTTTCTCTGAAATGCAAAAACCCTTGAGAATTGTTTTAACTTTGACGTTTGCTGCGGAAGCAATATGCAATATTCCGCGATCGACTTTCGACCCAAACGCGCCTCATTTCACAATGTTCAAGATTGATAAATTTAAGCATCGTTTACATGAAGGACGAATAAACGCTATGTTTTTTTAAATGTTTTTATAATGTCGCAAATAAAAATTCGAAGAATATAAATTGCATGTTGGAAATAAGATAGGTCTACAGTTTTAATAAAAATTCAAATTTATTAAACTTATTAAAATAATTTTATCGAGCAGTAACATATGATATGAAATATGTATTCATATTCTCGACTAAAAAGGGTTGTATCGAATATAATAAATTTGTATTCAACGACATGATTTACGATCAATTAAAAATCTCTTGTTTTATTGTTATTATTATTATATTTACTAGGAGGAAAGAAAAACCTCATTTACAATTAGCGCGCCACACCGTGCCATGTTCAAAGTGTTGGTTCGATACAGTTCGATGTGTTTACACGAAATTATGTTTACTTTCATGGCTTGGATCTGAAAAAGTATTGTTCCAAAAAATTTGTTTTTTTTGTGGACAATATGGGTAAGAGGGATAAAAGTAAGAAAAAAGTAAGCGGCAGCGTGAAAACTGCGCTGAGAACAGAAAAGAAATTGAACGCTAAGCAAAAAAAGGAATTGGCCGCACTTGGGGAGGTTAGGAACACGTGTAAAGACAATTAGTAAACACGATTTGTTTTTATAATAATTATGACGCGAATTTGTAACACGAAAATATTCATTCTTTTTTGTATAAATTCTAGGATGATATAGAACATGTGATTGCTGAAATCGAAAAAGAAGAAGCACGAAGGCAACGTGTTGTCGAAAAAACTGTACCGCAACCGTCTCGACGTGTAAACTTTACATTGACAGCGCATCCTTTCAAAGATGAGCTTATTATGCTCGGTGGAGAATTTCACGACGGACGCACGGTAAATTAATATTCATTTTGCGTTTTGATAATATAGAAATTTCAAACGATTTCGTCTTTATTTAGACGGTTGTTTATGGGGATATGTTTACATATAACTTGAGCAAAAATGAATGGACTGTTGTAAAAGCACCGGGTGCTCCACCTCCGCGTTGTGGTCATCAAGCGATAGCAACAGCGACGAGCAAAGGAGAATTATGGGTCTTTGGAGGTGAATTTTCCAGTCCTTCGGAATCACAATTTTATCATTACAAAGATTTATGGGTTTATCGATTTGGAGAGAAAAAATGGGAAAAAATTTTGTATGTATATACCTTTCAAGAATCTAAGATATATAGAGATGTCTGTTATTAATTTCTTTTATCTTCTCTAGATCTCCTGGTGGACCATCCGCTAGAAGCGGTCATAGAATGACTCACATAAAAAGACAATTGATAGTTTTTGGTGGATTCCATGATAACTTGAGGGATTATAAATATTACAATGATGTGTATATATTTAATCTTGATACATATGTTTGGCATAAAATTGAATTGTCTGGTAAAATTATGATAAATAGATAGATTCATTTTCCCAAATACGAATTTTTATGTATTATAAAAATATTTTATTACATTTTAGGTATTCCGCCGCATCCACGGTCTGGATGTATAATACTGCCAACACCTGAAAATAAACTTCTTGTATATGGTGGCTATAGCAAGGAAAGACTGAAGAAGGATGTTGATAAGGGTCTTATTCATAGCGACATGTTCTTAATGACTCCAGAGAGTATGTAGTTTGTTTTTATATATGTTTTAATCCTGACCGTTACTATATATTAATATTATTTTAGAAAATGATCAAACTGGTTTAAAATGGAAATGGATATCTATAAAACAGTCGGGAAATAAACCGTCACCGCGGTGTAGCGCGTCAGCTGTCTTAATTCAATCAAATTTGGCATATTTATTTGGCGGTGTTTTTGACGATGAAGACAACGAAGAAGAACTTAATGGAACATTTTATAATGATTTAGTTGCGTTAGATTTAGACAATTTTCAATGGCACACAGGTAAGTGTACAAAGTACAATGAAACGTTTTTTTTTTTTTACATCGCTATATGAGTCTAATCAATGTTTATATTCGAATGATTTTAGTGGCACTATCTGGTAAAAAAGATGTAACTGTACGACGCCGAAGGAGAAAACCAAAAGAAGATAGCGGCGAAGAAAACGATAGCGAAAGCGAAGATAAGAGCGACAATGAAATACAAAAATCATCTATTCCCGCTGAATCCACAATCATTGATGATGATGGAATATTTACAGTTACGATAGGGCCGGCATCAACAGCTAGTACACATAAGAAAGAAAATGCACACGAAAATGTATTTGTTCCATGTCCAAGAATAAATCCCGGACTAGTTGTAAAACACAATGTTTTATATCTGTATGGTGGTATGTTCGAAAGCGGTGACAGACAATATACGCTCAATGATCTATATAGCTTGGGTATGTATAATATCATAGTTCAATAAATTTTGTATATATATTATTACAATTTTATATTTTTATCTTAGATTGTCGGAAACTAGATGAATGGAGAACAATAATAGCAGACGATTTATCTTCGCAAACTTGGTTCGAATCGAGCAGTTCGAGTTCCGAGGATGAGAACACTGACAGTGGAGATGAAGATGAAAGTGACTGTGAAATCGAACGCATGGATGTAGATGAAAATTAATTTCTGTAAAGTATGATTAATGTTACTGAGTTTTTAAAAAATAAAAACTAATATTGATTTTTAATATTTCTCTGGGCAGCAGATTTTATAGCAGATAACATTTTCTTTTTCTTCTGAATTTCTTCTAACATTGTAGAGTTCTGGAAAGAAATGAACAGAAAATTTATAAAAATGATCATAGAACTAAATTAACGTGATAATTAAAACATTTACCTGTATATTAATAAACAACGTGCAATCAGAAGTGAAAGGATAACATATGCTTCCTTCACACTGTATATAATTATTTTTTGGAAATATACAAATTTGCGAAATTTTTGATCCAGCTTTAATTAAATTTATTGTTTCATTATAGATAGTATAATCTTCAGGGTTACTAGTAACGATATGAACTGCAAACAAAAATTCATTGTTTAACATATTAACCAAGTTACTTATTTTATTACATGTATAAATAATTCTAAATGTACCTTCTGGACATAATTTTTTAGTATTATTAGGCAGCTGTTTTCTGATTTCAAATATCAATTCTAATACTGTATATATTCTGTCATCTAGAGTAACATCTCTCCATTTTTTAAACTGTAATAACAATAATCAGTAGATATTAAAAATTTTGAAGTTTTTCACAGATCAAGCAAATTATCTTACCTGTTCTGGCAATGGATATGATGCTACCATTAATGATGGAACTACTAAAAATTCTGGAAATTGATCTGACAATTTTGTATATAATTCATCAGCAAGGTACGGCATTACAGGTGCAAGTATTCGTAAAAAAACTTCTAAGCATGTCCTTAAGCAGTACGTATGACTCGCAATAATATCTGAATTTTCAGATTTAAATCCCGACTTAGTCGCTTCCTACGTGGTATTAAATAGATTCAATAACATTGTATATTATACAAAAGCAGCTTTCCAATGTTATAATCTTACCAAATAAAAATCACAAAATTCATAATGTAAGAACTGTTTTAACGACTCGATACTTTTATGGAAATTTCGTTCCATAAATCCATCATTAGTTGTACTAATCATTAAAGATAATCGACTTAAAATCCAGCGATCAATAATTGACATACTTTTTGGCTCTCGATACAGGTTTTTACCTGTCATAAGTATAATGTATCTGCTTGCTTGCCAAATTTTGTTACAGAACAATTTATGTGTTTGGCACAGTTGCACGTCGAAATTAATTCTGTTCTCTATTTAATCGAAGAATAATCAATTATAATTATATTGTACTACATTGAAAAGTGCAAACAAAACATTGTATATATTAATGTATACTAACTTTGGATATTGTGACTACATAATGTCATACGTAGAGCATCCGTACCGCATTGTGGTATTCCTTTAGGGAACATTTGTTTATGTACAGACAACATTCGCTTTAACTCACTTTGATTAAGAATGCCTATATCATAACTTTCGTTGAATTGTGCAGTTAAGTCCTGATTACATTGAAACATGTGATACAAATAAATTATATATTTAAATGGGAGGTTCATTAATACTCACATTTGTAGTAGCTCCATTGATGATGTTTTCTGGTGATATCACGTTTCCAACTGTCTTGGACATCTTTTTCCCAAGACTATCGCATAAAATACCATGCAATAGTACTTCCTATATAACAATAATTTTTAAGTAAATATAAACATACATTTTTAACCGTGAGTACACGTTCAAAGATGAGAAAATCTTACATTGAAAGGTACACGATTGGTCAACTCTATTCCTAGCATAACCATTCTTGCAACCCAGAAAAACATTATATCGTGTCCCGTTTCCATTAATGTTAATGGATAATACTTTTTGAAATCTTCTGTCTAAATGTACATTTTTTAACATAATATAATGATGCTATTTCACTAGTTATTTAATCGTTATATCGTTGTACCTTTTTTGGCCAATCTAACATAGCAAAAGGAACGATACCGGAAGAAAACCATGTATCCAACACATCTTGATCTTGATTTAATTTTAAATCACGTCCATACTTATTCTGCGCAATAAGCTGTGCATCATTCTCAGATCGTGCAACTATCCATTCGGTTTTGTCTCCGATTGTAACATAATAAGCTGGAATACGATGACCCCACCATAGCTGTCTCGAAATACACCAGTCTCTAACAAAAGTAATAATCGAAAAACAGATATCGCAATTAAACGTGTTTATACATTTTGTACGGTTTTTCAATTACCTAATGTTACTTAGCCAATTATACCATGACTCTTCGTGAATAGTAGGAACTATTTTTAAGTGACCCTCTTTCACAGCATTCATCGCTTTTTGCGCCATATCTTTGGTCTTTAAAAACCATTGTTCTTTCAACATGTATTCTACAATATCTTGAGATCGTGAACATATTCGTAAGCACATTTTGTGTTCATGAATCCCTTTTAAAAGACCTCTGTTTGACAATTCATTTAAGACTTTCTCCCGAGCGATAAATCTTGGAAGACCCTAAAATATTTTGAAGTTTAATTCTCGTTAGAAGCAACTGGAAAATACAATTGTTGAACTTGAATATTGTTATACTTTGAATTGATTTCCCGCATCTGTTATATTTCCATTTTCGTCGATAACTTGGATGATATCTAATTGATGATTCGTAGCAATTGTATAATCTAACTGATCGTGCGCTGGTGTTATTTTCAGTGCCCCTAAAAATATCCTTCATTATTGTTTATTGTTCAAACTAATGAAATACTTTAATATCTCCCAATAATTGAAATATTTACCAGTGCCAAAGTTTTTATCGACCAAAGAATCAGCGATAACAGGTATATATGTTTCTCTTAAAGCATGCCAAACATTTTGTCCAATGTACTTTGCATATATTTCGTTATCCGGGTGAACAGCAATTGCTACATCACCGAAAAGAGTTTCTGGTCTAGTTGTCGCGACTACTATTTCATCGTCTAAAAATATATGTTCTTATCAAATACGATCGATTCGCATAGCGCGAAAAATGTACAACAAAGAGTATTACTTGTATTTTCAACTGGATAAGCTATATGCGCTATTTCGCCGAATGTAATCTTCTTTTCATATCCTGGAACATGAAGATCTGTCTTTGCAGCAATATACCTAACATCTACTTCGATATCAGATATTGTACTATGCAAAGCAGGAGACCAATTAATTAAATCCTTTTTCCTATATAGTAGATTTTTATCATTTAGAGTTACAAATGCTTCTATCACAGCATTATTATAATTCTGAAATTCGAGTTATAAATAAATATACATTCTATAAAGGGAAACTCAAAGAAATACCTCGTTCATTGTGAAATATTCTTTAGACCAATCCAAACTGGCACCCAATGCTTTCAACTGAGACTTTATCGTATCTTCCTTCTGATTCTTCCATTCCCAAATAATGGAAAGGAATTGTTCCTTTCCTATGTCGGATTTCGTTACACCTTTTGTTTTCCATAAATACTTTTCTATCATCATTTGTGTTGCAATTCCAGCATGATCTAAACCTGGTATCCACATCACAGGATGTCCTTTCATTCTGTACCTAAATGTAAAACATCCTGAGCAATCTCAACTAACGTGATTCAAAGATGAAAAAGTAATGAAAAATACCATCTTGCTAGAACATCTTGAATTGTAACAGTTAACGCATGTCCTATATGTAATGTTCCAGTTATATTTGGTGGAGGCAAAACCATTTTAAATGCATCTTTCTCGCTGCCTTTCATAGCAAAATATCCATTCTTTTCCCAAACACTATACCACTTGTCTTCTGCATCTTTAGATTTGAAGGTTGCTGGAAAATCTAAAGGCAAAGAATTCATCGAAATTTTTATTTCTAAAGAATTAAAACTTCGATTATGCATTGTTTTTCGAAAACCAGGTATTTTCGATATGTACGTACCTGATATGGATTGAGTACGACAGCCGTTGTAACAATATTTACAATAAGATTTGCTACGTAAAAGACTATTTAATCGTACGATAATCATTATGGGTTAAGAAACACTGTACAAATTTATTTGTATATTTAAGGAAACCTAACCTAAAACGCGAGGAGGACTGTTGTACTGAATTGCTGTAGTTGACATGTTATTATCATAAATAATATATTTAGTAAGAACTTGTATTTTGGAAATGGCAAATGTCTGTATATTTTTAATTCATACATTTATCCACTGCTATATAGATACAAAGTATAGGACATATTTAAATACCCTAACCAACCCTAACAATAAACGTGGAGTCACGTGGAATTCGAAACAGTGTTTCTCATTTTTAAATTGTACTTTATTTACATATACGCAGATAACAATAAAGTGGTTTAATTTGATGTTATTCTGAGTAATAAAATAATTATGCTTTATAAATTATGACAGACTGACAATACAAGATTTCGCGATAAGTTGAATACATAATAAGTAGACAACGGATGTTTATGTATTTATAATTATAAAATATTATATATTTTTGCAGCAATGCAAAAATGTATAAAATATCAACAATAATGTACATCATCTAATAATAATAATAATGTATATACAATATCTATATATTATATAGATTATAACGCTTAGAGTCGTGCAATTTGCTGTATGAACACGACAGAAAGTGTGTTGCTACGAGAACTAAATCATAAAAGATAACGAAAGAATCGTTCCAAATACAAATGTATTTGAACTCAAATTACAAAGAACGATAAGCGATTATTTATACAAAACTGGATAAGACTGATATGTGAATAACAAATATATTAATTATTTCGATATACTACGTATTTTGAAGTGGTCAAAAATCTTATCGTAATTTTAAATATATAAGAAACGTTATACTTTGACCAGATATTGAATCAACGTGTTATGCATCGCCAATGCCATTCGCATTATTGTTCGTTATCTTCATTACTTCTTTATTACTATCTCTGTGATTGGATTCGTCGGGTAAACATTTTTAAAGACTTAGGGAATGCCTACACGGTCCAAAGTTCCTTATCGATAAGTTAGTTCTCGTATGCGGTTCTTGTTGAGTCACATTCCCTTGCTTGGCTTCCATTCTGTCCATTTTGATCAAAGTACTGCTGCACGCTGCACTTCATAACCAATAAAGGTTTCGTTTTATATTACTCTTCGAGCAATTACTTTTATTTCGTGCATTTCTCTCTCGATATCCTCAAATTATTAAAAATGATGAAGGTAAGTCTTGTGTATTTTTTTTTATCTCTTCATGTAAATGGAGTACAATTATAATTGTAAATATTAATTTGCAAAGCCGAGAAAATTTCATGTAACATTTTCATAGCTCGTCACTTTACATTCGTACATGTTTTAGTACCATATTATACTTATTTCACAAATCTAGTTTTCCTGTATTTGGTATTATATTTCTGTGAAATTCATTCGATCATGCTAGCAAATGTTATTCACAACAAGTGTTTTTTTTTGGAATAGTTTCGCTGCTGTGGATTGTATCCTGTAATAGGAAACACTAGTTGAAATTACTTAATAATATTGCATAGTTAATAAATATAGTGCAAACTTATAAAAAGGATTAGAAAAGATATCAGTATCTTAAATAATGCATACTTTGCCAATTACATTGTATTTCAATTTTATGGTTTACCATTAGTATTATGTTACACTTATGATCCTTGTACCGATTTGCTTAATTGTATCGTTATTATATCTGTAATGTATCGTTTTAATACAATTATTTTTATAGTTATGTAGTATGATATAATATAAGATGGCATTAAATAAAGTTTGTATGAATATCAATAAACAAGAATATGGAAAAAACAAATTTAAATAGTTGTTTCCTTTAAAAAGTCTCTTTTCATGACATGCTATAAGAATAAATTATAAACTGAAATATAATGGTCCATATTTGTCTTTTGTTTTTTTGAAATACAATACATTCTTATTTTTCACATGCTTAAAATAGTATATTCAAAAGTATATTATAATAATTAATTACGTATATCTTATAACATGCTATGAAAATAATTCATTTAAAAATGAGTCATTTCCTTTGGATAAAGGTGTTAAATTTATTAACAAGTACTCAATATATTACAATGAAATTAAACGTTTAAACGAATACTATAATTGACATACATCTTAGGGATTGGTTGCTCTTGTAACTGGAGGTGCCTCTGGACTAGGACTTGGAACTGCACAAAGGTTTGTCAAAGAAGGTGCCAAAGTAGTTATCGCTGATTTACCTACTTCAAAAGGGAATGTTGTTGCTAATGAAATAGGACAGTCAGCCATGTTTATACCAATGGATGTGAGTTTTAATAAATTTATACTAGTAGTAGTAGTAGTAGTAGTAGTAATAGCGCTAACAGCATGTACTATTTTCAAAAGAAAGAAGCTACTAGAAAGAAGGACATAAGATGAATACTTTTGTTACAATACATTTATTATAGAATTATTAATGACTATTAATTTTAATAGTAATATATGCTTTTTAATATCATTGCCATTGTTAGTTATAATATATTACATGTGCACTACTACTAATACTACTAGTAGCCATTATAAATTGACATTGAACGTTTAGACATCTATTTACATCGAACATCTGGCGTGTATCATTTGCAACATCGTACTTGGTTTTATAAAAGAAACGATTACGATAAATTTATAGCAACTTGTGCGTACAATGACATGCTCTTTTTTTTACAGGTAACGTCGGAGAGCGATGTAACGAATGCATTGGAATCAACGAAGAAAAACTTTGGTAAATTAAATGTCTTGGTGAATGCAGCAGGTATAGCTTGTGCGTATAAGGCGTATAACTTTGGCAAACAGCGTCCACACTTGCTCGAAGACTTTCAGAAAGTACTGAATGTAAATACTGTCGGAACATTTAACGTTATCAGATTAGCTGCGGGGGTTATGTATGAGAACACACCAAACGAGGATGGACAACGTGGAGTAATAATTAACACAGCAAGTGTCGCAGCTTACGATGGACAAATGGGTCAGGCAGCATACGCTGCTAGCAAGGGTGGGATCGTCGCTATGACTTTACCGCTTGCCCGCGACTTTTCTAAAGGTGGTATTCGCGTTGTTACAATCGCGCCTGGATTATTCGACACACCTTTGTTGCAATCATTACCAGACAAGGTGAAATCATTTTTACAAAAAACGGTTCCATTCCCGCAAAGATTGGGCAAGCCAGACGAATATGCACAGCTGGCGCAACACATCGTCGAAAATCCTCTTCTGAACGGAGAAGTTATAAGATTAGACGGTGCTCTCAGAATGCAACCTTGAATCCACACGAACATTTACTAATCACATGAACATGGAAACCGGAGAAAGGGATTTGTAATGCATGGAAAAAGTTTATAAGAAAAATATAAAAAGGCATAAAAATGTATGAAAGATGAATAAAAAACGATAACCTTGTTAGTACATGCAACACCATTATAATTCTTTTAAAATGTACACGAACAACTAAAAGTTTTCATCTATTATAGGTATCGACAATTCTCTTTATTACCTTATGACTGTACATTAACGTCTTGTAAATACGTTGCAAAAGTCGCAACACCCTTCTTTTAAATAGTTAGTTCACTAGAGTATCGTCTAGCAAAAATGTTGTGTACATAGTATTAACATAAAAATTTGCCCAGTCGTTCCGTTTACTCGATTCCCGGTTAGTCTTTCTTCCCGATAACCTCTGGAGATTTCCAGAATTCCAGCAGATGCTGGAATTTATTCTGATGATTTTTTGGAAGAGCCAGTTTATTTGTTAAGGCAGGATAATCGGGATCTCCGAGGTCTAGTCAATCCTAGGCATTCGATTCTTTCAGATTTTGCAGCTTCTCTAGCTGGTCGGGTTGTAACTCATCTGGAATACTTGCCCTTCCTCCTACTACCATCATTTTCTCGGGTACGATCTCGATGTCCTCCGTTTCGGTTTCTTGTACCTCGATCACAGTGCCGCGAGATGGTATCGATTGGGAATTGTCTCCTGTGCTTGGCCCGGATGTCGAGTCCGCCTCGCTACCAGAACTGCTGCTAACTGGGAACGGCGCAGAGTCTGCCGGTAATTCATCGACCGTCGACTTCTCTTCGATGTCTTCGGCTGCTTCTGTGACTTCTTGCTCCTCTTTCTCATCCATTATTACCGTTGCTTCCTTGCAGTCGCTTTCATTCATGTCGGTGGTTGTCGTACTCGATGGCTGATCACCCTCGGAGCTTTCTGTGGATTTCACCGCGTCGTCGGTGGTCTCCTCTAGCCCTGGAAACGGATGCTCGATCTCTTCCATCGGCGTGGCCGCGGTGATCACTATTTGGGCAACACCGAGTCCAAAATCATCGTTAGACTGGTCGCTGTTCAAGCATTGCGACTGTTTTGATTTTTCATCATCTGCCTGGAAACAAAACGATTAGTTCTTTCGATGAGGGATCGTGTTCTTTCATTAATTTCTTTCGACTACCAATTTACCTTGGTTCCCGATTCATCCGATACTTCTACAACTAAGCGGCAGTTTTGTGTGTAAATTGGGACACGGATTAAACATTAACGCAAATAATGGAATAAGAGTATGATATGTTCATATCGATCTCCGTAGAGATAATTGTAACTTACCCACTATACCAGGCCCGGATTCCTTATCGCCATCGAATTGCGAGCCATACTGACTCTTCTGGTCCTTCGAAAGATTTATTATAAAACCATCTTGCTGTTGCTGTTGTTCAACGTTTACGTCGCTAGGTTTTCCACCTTGCGATTCTGTGTTAAACGTTATAATGAGAATGCATCTTTACGTTAAATTTAGACAAGTTGATTATTACCTTTCATTAAACTTTGCGCTAGTTCCTCTTCTAACAAGAATTCTGGAACCTCTGGTGGCGTAAATACAGGTGGCGCGGAGCTTGGCGGCGTTACGTTCTCCTACCGATCAGAGGAAAGTCAAGTTAAAAGTGCAAATCATATTTTCGCGGCTCTATTCATCGACTGCAATTTAACCTGCGGGGTCAAAGGCGAACCGTCAGCGCCACATGGTTCCACTATTAAAGACGGGAACAATCCTCGTTGTCCACGTAATTCACCTTCCCACCATCCGTCGTCCACGTCGTGTGGTTCCTTCTTCAGAACTCTCATGATATCACCCTCGAAGAAGCTAAGTTCTTCGTCGCATGTGGCGTCGTAATCGTAAAGAGCGATACAGTATTGTTCCATTTCTGGAAAAGTAAAGTGATTCTAAT